TGACTTATATTACATTATTTTTTAGTTATAGGGTTTATCAGGAAATGAACAAAAATTTTGCAAAATCAAATTTTATAATTTTTTGAAAAATATGATTTGTTTGATTGTATTTAAGGGGCCAGGAATGTTCTGTCTAAATAACATTAGAGCAATTTTTTAAATATTATGCTTCTACGCTTGTCCTTTGTTAATCCTCTGATCTGTTATTTTCTTTAGACATTTAAATTTGTAAAAAGAAAAGAAAAATTGTACAAAAAAAAATTATAAATTTGTCTTAGATACAAAGGAGAAAACCGTCTGCTCTGGTAAATTGCTGTTCAAATTTTATTCATTGATCTCCTCCAAAACTTTGTGGTACCATCGCAAAATTTTCCGAGATAAATTATATCTAAAAGTGCAAAATATGCACCTACACTTGTAGTTAATCACCAATAATTTCAAATTTCAGTTCACAATTTTGACATCCTTCGAAAAGTCTCACTAATAAAATACTCATGCTGAAAATTTACAAGTATGATTAATACTGGTAACTTTTTTTTATTTAAAGCAACGAATGCACTAAAACGTACATAGTTAGGATCAATAATATTTATGTGGTTATATGACCATCAAGAAAACTAAAAGTATTCCTATAGATTGTAAAATATTACAGAATTATTCTTTTAAAAGTATGACTGATCACGATTCGTTTTACGACTAAATTTTAGTAATTGAAAATCAAAATTTAACACCAATAAATCCAGGATGACAAACATTCTATGATAAATTGTAAAGAAGTTGTGGATCTACTTTTGGAAATTCGGAGTGGTTCGAACGAACTGGCAACACCGCCGATAATTCTATACTAAAAGACGCTGCTCTAAGTTTCGTCTTTATACATTATTAACTAAATGTCAACTTGATAATAAACGTGTAGAACCAAAAAGACCTTGTAAAGAAAAAATGTACAAAGAGGGATAGTTAAATACAATTTTAAGAATTCTCAGAGTTCGCGAAAATGTCTTCGTTAGAGTGACATACGCTATTTGAACTCCCAGTAATTGGAAAAATAATTGGAAACGTATACGATAGCTAATGATCAAAGTTTCTTTTCTATCGTGGTGTACACTGCTATTGAACATGCAGCTGTGGCTAGTTGCTCATTAATTGCACGGACTTAAATATCTTTCAGGGCACGTGTATGGTAGTACGAGCAAGGTGAGCTTGTCGTTTAGATACCGTTAAGTTCCCTCTTTAATATCGTGTAGGGCCCTCTACATATTTTCAAGGGGTCTTTAAAAGAGTCGAACGCCAATTGAGAATCGTTTCAGTTTTTAGTCTGAACAACTGTTTTTTATCTTTAGTGATTACCCCATGTTTAAGACTAAAGATAAATACCATATGTATAAAAATAGTCTGCTTTCATTTACGAAAATGTCGAAATGCTTCATTTTCATATTTCAGTTCAGTGGCTTCTAATTCCATAACGTTAATGACATTGCAGTGCAGAGTGTTTAGTTTGTATAATTTGTAGTAACAACATTTAACACATATCAAAACAAAACACTCCTCTGAAGTTCACAGAACTGTTCCGAATTAACTTGTTTGCAGCTAATGCTAATTAACTTCTGCATTTATGAATTTACGTAAATTGCACAAGCAAATATTTCACATGTAAAACCGGTCCAAAATGTGTTAAGCAGCATAAAACAGTGGTGTTGCAGATCCATTAAGCCACTATTTATCGTAGTTATACAAATAGTAAATTAAATATGCGACACAAAACTAATGAGGATAATAACGTGTTATTAGCAGTACAAGTCAATTAGAATTTACGCCACCGTATTCAAATCTGCAGTGGTAGTTAAACATCAATACATCCTCTGTAGGCTTTTCGGAACACGAAAGTGATTTTCTCTTAAAAAATCTAACTTGATTCCCTTATTCCTGATTTGATTTCAATTGCTCTTGAGTAATAATGCTCGTAAACTGTAATTCAGTTCGAGAATCTCTGTAGCTACAGCAATTACAGAAATATCCTTAAATTAATTTCGAACAATTAATTTTCAAGGAGTGGCAATTGCAACTCCTTGACCTCCATGCTTTATGACAGTACTCCAAAGACCCTTCCTCGCACCAAATCGCTTTACGGAAAATACGACCAAGTATTCCGATAATAGCTTTTAACAATTACATAAAATGTATCCATGTCTTGAAAGATACGAGACCATTACTTCAAGCTTAAGCTCTCTGCTACACAATCGACGACAGTTAAATGAAATTTGTAAGAGTGCGAATAATTGTTACTTAGGAGAACGAAAATCATTTTATCCTCCGCGATTTATTAAGAAAGCTGACCAAAAAACAGCGGAAATAGACAATCTGAAATGCCTCGTTCCTGTTCGGTTGATGGTGATGTATTACTACTAGCAACCTGAACATTTGTCACTGCTAGTTCGTAGTATCTCCATAAGGCACTTTAATAATGGATAGCGAATAAAAAGATCGATAGTAGGTAACTAAATAAATGTATGTAAGTCCCAAAGATTTACACTTCTTGACATTGATAAATTCCCCATATCAAATAAAGGGAAATGCTGAAGCGCTTAATTTTCAGAATGTCCAGAATTAACAAAAACTGAAAATAGCTTGAAGGGCTGCCGTACCTTCACAAACTACGCAGCAAATCTGACAGTTTGTTTATGGTAATATAATAATGAAACAAGTAAATATAACTCGAGCCTATTTAATTTGGGGTTTATTTTACCTATTGTTAAAGGATGGAAACTTTGTTTTATGCGGTTAATGTAAAAGAGATGTGTGTGCATTGTACAATGAGCAGTATGCTAAATAATGAAAATATTAAATAAACAACACAAAAAGAGAAATGTGAATTGTGCGTTCCTCAAGTTGTAAATTAGCCACAAAACAAAAGAACTTCCCTCGCCGCAAAAAAGTATGTTAAAAAATAGTTACACCATAGCATAGCACCTAGTATTGGTTGCGCTGTTGAAGCAAAGCAAGTTCGGTATTAATACATTTAGCTTTTTCTGTGTACAAGTTCGTGGTAAATCATTAAATCTCAACACGAAAACAATTAGTAATCTGGCACGTTTTTGACTAAACAAAGTTAACAATAACAGGGCCAACATTTAACCATCAATTTAAGCCTTGAAATTAATTGTTTTGACGCCGTTTTCAAGCTCCCCTTAATTACAAAATCAGTCTAGAATGAGAGAATAAACGTAAAAATTTCGTTTTAAAAGTTAAAAGCTGGAGGTGTTTCAGAACAGAGAAATTGGATTTTACGTGTAGAAAGCCTTCGCATTATAATCATTACCTGATTTGGAATACTAAAATTTGAGGGTTAAAAGCAGACTTAAGATCGATATGTTCAGAGGTGTGAATGTTCTGATAAGAACTCTGAAAGTATTGTTTAACTTACAATAAGGATTTTCGTATCTTTTATATTTTGAAGTGTTTTGATCCCTTCAACCAACAATTGAGGCTTACGGAAATCCGCGATGATAGTGTTAGAAGATTTCACTCAGAGTGACGAATGATAAATCCGTTCATCGGTGGCGGCGACAATGGCAGGTTGAATTGAAGTACACTGTCGCCCTATATTTCACTTCGCTCGGAGTAAATATGCATGAAATAAGAATGAATGTGTTGTTACAAGAGAACTAAATAGATTTCGAGTTCGATTGAAATTGAATCTATTTGGTTGGCGAATAAAAACAGGATGGTTGACCTACATGGCCACCATTATCGGATTTGTTCGCAATTTTTAGTTTAATTAAATTTTATTTTGGTACGTGTTTTTTTACTGGCTAAATAAATGCAGAATCCGTAAAATCAATTAACGAAAAAAGTACAACTGAAAAAATTACGAGAGGAAATAAAGGGAGTTTAGCCAGTTTGATTACTATCAATCGTTCAAGGTAAACAGTAGTTTTGAAGTGTACACTAATTTATTAACTCATTTCAATTGAAATTTACAAAATTTTGAGGTAACGTCATCAATTTTTCGTTGAAGATGGATAGGTACAATTTACCTTTTAATTTTAATGTTATTTTCAAAAACTTTTCGATGATATTAACTTTGTAAAGAGTATAAATAAATTAAAATTCCGTTTTGGTTACCAAATTTAAAAAAAAGTCATTTCGTAGATTCTAGGGGAAACTGTATATTTTGCTTTTTTTGTGATATCCCCAATATGTTTCATTTGTAATTTAGCCATTAAACCATAAAAAAGAGCATGTACACAAAAAAATTAAACGAGATTGAATTTTTAAGAAAATTCTGAGGCGACATCAAGATAGTCTTAACGCTTTTACAAAATTTCAAAGCAATCCGTCTTGTACTTTCTGAGTTAAATTGTAAAATTCGATTGTACAGTTTTGAGTTCTTTTTTAAAAATTGAATCCATATAAAGCCATAAATGGGGATGGACTAATACATTACAGATATATAAACTTATAATTGTACATTTATGTGCTAATATTTCAGGTGACGTTATTTTTATGGAAAAGTTTCCTCTGTTGATTTATTAACGTTTTACAAAGTTTACTGATTAGAGATTCGTTAACCATAATTTTATCGTCCATTACTAAGTTATGGTGCAGACACGTCATGATATAAAGGTGTGTCGAATTTCGAGGAGCATGTGGACATAAAAATGTTGGGCTAGTTATTAGAAATTCCAAGCGATCCGCAAGGTCGTGATCGACATCCAAAATTACACCAAATCGATATTTATATTATAGCTATATCAGGAGTATCCAAGCATATGAGGAACGTGTTGATTCGGTTGTAAACTCAGTATTCAACTGTGACTTAATGCAGATTTTTCACGCTAGAAGCGAACAATCTTCACTCATTCAAAGAAATATTTCTAATTTTGGAAAATGTTTTCTCAAACGTTGTTGCTACTTAATTTATTTCTTATAAAGTTATTTACCTGAGTTATAACATCCTGCTATAAAAAACTTCAGTAAGTGCGTGATTTTGTTTTCAGAAATCACGAAGGTACAAGCAATGGGAAAAATTCCCCAAAAAGACGTAAAATACGTCGACATTTATAGGGAAAAGCCTATCAAAGTAACAGTAAAAGTTTTAGTTCCAGTAAGAGAACATCCAAAGGTAAAATAGCAAAATCAAATTAGACAACTTGAAATTCCATTGTCTCTCTTATAGTTTAACTTTGTCGGAAAACTCCTTGGACCTAAAGGAAACTCAATGAAGCGTCTACAGGAGGAAACCATGTGCAAGATGGCTGTTCTCGGTAAAGGGTCAATGAAAGATCGTCAGAAAGAAGAAGAGCTTCGCAATTCTCTTGATCCAAAGTACGCTCACTTGATGGACGATCTCCACGTTGAAATATCGGCTTTGGGACCGCCGGCAGAAGCTCACGCTCGCATTGCATTCGCTCTAGCTGAAGTTCGAAAATATTTGATTCCCGATAATAACGATAACATCAGACAGGAACAAATGAGGGAAATGGAAATTATGACATCTTCAGACATACCGATCGAGGAACCGAGAAGCTCAAGGCGCGCTCCAGGAATTCTTCGAGGTAATTAATTACTTTAACAAGTTTTTTTACTTTTTAATTAGAAGTAACAAAGTCGCTGCTGTTAATTTATTCACACGAAGGATTCTAATTTGAATTAAAATTAACAGATATGCTTGGGTAAACCGAAATAAACATGGGACGAGATCCAGATTTTATTTAAACGACTCCACAAATTTTGGGTCACATCAAGTAACATGTTTTTTAAGTATAGTTTGAAGATTGTTGAAGTTTTGTTTTCTTTAATTTTAACATTTTTAATGACTAATTAACTTGAAGTATCTTCGTTTGAAGAATTAAACCGTCACAGTTTGGTGGGGTCTACTGTATACTTTATTTGTGTATGATTTATCGTAAGATTTAGTAGAATAAAGGAGTGATTATAATTTGTATTACTTCTATTTCTCTAAAACGATTAAATAAACGAGAGCACTCGCAATTTAAACTGAAGTCTTATAAATATATAGTGAACCAAGACCTATAAGGTTATATGGCCATCATAAAAGTAGTTGACCGCAAATAAATACCCCCTTTGTGTGGTTCGCACTAAGCTTACCGGTTGGCAATAAATCATCTTCGAAACATTTCTTGCTCCTATTTAACAGGGCCGGCTTTCAAAGCGAGTGATTATTTCGGAACCCTCAGCGGCTGCAAGTAGTAAAGAAATAGTGGAGTGGTGGATTTTCATATTTAGTGAAAGCCGCCCCTGAACGAACCCACCAGAGCCGGTCGAGCTGCAGTGGACACGTTATTTACGACCCTAAAATCTTTTCTATTGTAAACAACTTAACTTCGACACAATGGGATGATTTTATGATGGCCATATAACCTTATAACTCTTGGTTCACTATACTTGACCATAAAATAATTTATAAAAATCGAACAGGGGTAGGAGTATTTGTGAATGGCGTAATTTTCCTGTAGCAGCAACAATACCTCGGCCACCAGTTCCCATGAGAACCGCAACCAGAACGCCGGTTGTGACTCCCAGGGTGATGCCAGCAAAGACAAAAATAATGTCAATTTTGGATCGTGCTCGCATAGCAATGGAAGAAAGTTACGGTTTTGAGGATTCATACGAACCCACTGACGTTTACGAGCCATATTCCAGTTCAGTGTCCCATTCAAGGTCCTATTCAAGCCACCACTATGAACCAGATTACGAACCCGAGTACTACCGTGAAAGTTCTAGTTCATATGGTAAGTTCATTTTCAATTTTCTCTCGATGGTTATATCCGCATTTTAAAAATAAATATGAAACTAAAATTAAACCCTTAAATAAACCTAAAACTTAAAACAAAGCGCCACCATTTAAAGAGTCCTCTTTTTAAACAAAACTCGTTTAAAATAATATCGGGATATAAAATGAAAGATCGACTCTTTAACTACTCTAATTTAATTTATTGTGCCTCTAATATGTTTTTAAACGATTGTGTACAGAACCATCGCAGCGGTGGAAGTCTTATAAAACTGCAAGCTCATCAACTTCTCGTCACAGTGACACTACTCGTTATCGCACTTCCCCCTACACTCGCCCAAATAAATAAGTTTAGCGTTGAGTTCATTTCAACAATTTTCACTGTTTAATACTAATAACTGTAATTTATTCAACGTTAACATCACTGGTGTCATATTTCTTGTCAAAAAATAAAAGATCTGATTATTTAACGAAGCGCGTTACTGGGATCTGAATGGTTGCTAATGTTCGGGCATGTGCTAATAATACGCCTTTCATCAACAACGAGAGTACAAACATAATACGTAATATGTATTTGTGTCAATACTCGCAAATGGCTGAACCATGGTAGGTACAAATCGCATTAGCAAGCCCTGCGTTCACGGACCATGCAGATCTTTATGTTCAGCGCTCTAATATTATTATTTATTTAGCTTCCTCGAGAAAAAAAATTTATTCATATAGAATGACTGATTTATTTATTTATATTAAATAGTATCAAATCGTTTATTTTTATCAAAAATAACCGTATTAAACTTGTATTTAATAGCGACAACTTAAAAAGCAATTTAACTCAGATAATATAAGCTTAAACATTTATATGGAACGTAAATCAAGTTAATGTAATTTTCAAGATGTAAAATGAGCTATTCTTTAAGAAATCGGATGTACGAGACAATGTAGTTCAGGCTTACAGAATAGCTCGCTAAAAGCTAATGTAGATGTTTAGATTATATCAATTAGATTGAATTAAATTGTATCGTGTCTTCAATAAAAATCGAATAGGACAAAACATTTCTCGTTAATTCCCTTATTAATATCTATTATTTTAAATTTCTAGTGCACATACGTCTTATTATCTCAGGTAAAGTATTAATCTTAACATATTAAATATCAATTAAACTGCGCTAATTTAATCGTTAAATATATTTATAATTTATTTTAATTATAAACCACTCTGCATGTTATTTTCATTTAAACGAATTATTTTATTTTCGTACAAATATTATTATTTTATCATGTTTCATGGTATCATGTAATATTTATGTTTATTTGTGTAATACAGCTGATTCATTATGGCATAAATACTGCAAGATCCAATCACCCTGGAATAGTAGTTTTCTTTTAATATTGTTATTTATTTATTTATTTAATTTTTTAATATAATTCTAATACAATGTTTATTGCTGTTGCAGGTTTGTGACCTTCGGCCCCCAGGAAAAAAAAACAATATGTGAATATTAAAGTGTGATTAAGTGTCTGTGATATAATAAAGTATTTGTATAAGTCGTAAAAGTATTTTCATTCCGTGTTTTCCACCAAATTTTTATTGCATTTTTGTGAACTTTGCCCAGAACGAATGACACTGCAAAAGTTTTAAGATGAGCAAAACTTCGCACCTTCTTTGTTATTTTTTTATTTCTCAACAAAGTAAAAAATTAATTTTCAATAAACCAAAAAATCTACTTGGGTACATTTTTTCTTTATAAAGTATATTAACTTGGTCACCCACAAGATATACAACAAAAGTCGTAAAAATTATAAATTTATAACAACCACTATAAAGAGAATGCAGACAGTTTTTCCATGAGTTTGAAGATCCTACTTGTGTACTGATACATTATTGGGTTAATCTACAAAAAAAATCTACGATCAAAGTGCGAATAGCCACCAAAATTAAATGCAAGTTGAAGGTGAATGTTTTTTAGTTGAGCGTTGAAAACTGATTTCATCAGTCATCCACAGAACAAATTTCAGTTCCCTCTGTTGGCAACACTGTGGGTCAAAGTCTACGTGTTTCGAGTTCACCTGTTTATCAAACCGGTCAACAAATACATCTCCTAAGTTTTATATGTGGTTTTAAGTATACTCCTTATTATTGAGTTATGGCTTCTTATATTGCAAGAAATGTTGTCAAAAGCCCTGCGGCCCTGGGGTTAGTCCAACAACAATTCAGTAAGTGTTTAATTATTTCCACTCTGAATGTGAGTGTATGTTCAAAGTTCACACTCCTAAAAAACTTGTAGGTGGACTTAGGGCATTCTCTGTGGGCACACAGCTAAATAATAAAAAGACTCTAAAAGATAAAACGGGAAAAAATATCGTCTTAGTGGATGGTGTCAGAACACCATTTTTACTCTCTGGAACTGATTATTCTAAGTTGATGCCACATGACCTAGCAAAAGAAGCTTTATCGTAAGATTGTATACAATCTGTTGATCAACACTTATGACCAAATTTCAGCGGTATTTTAAAGAAGACTGGTGTTCCTAAAGAGATTATCGACTATGTCATTTATGGAACTGTTATTCAAGAAGTTAGAACTTCAAATATTGCAAGAGAAGCGGCACTTGCAGCTGGTTATAGTGACAAAACTCCAGCTCACACTGTTACAATGGCTTGCATTTCATCAAATCAGGCCATGACAACAGGTATGAAACAATTAAAACAAAATAGAATCAACACAGTAAAATCTTGTTGTAGCAATTGGTCTGATTGCAAGTGGAGTCTATGAAGTTATTGTAGCAGGAGGGGTAGAATTTATGTCTGATATACCAATTAGACACAACAGAAAAATGAGAAGTTTAATGCTGAAAGCAAATAAAGCTAAGACTTTGCAGCAAAGACTGGGTTTGTTGGCTTCAATTCGTCCCAATTTCTTTATCCCAGAGGTAAGAAACAAGTTCGTTATGAGTGGATGTATTAAATACAGTTGTAGTTACCCGGAGTATCTGAATTTTCATCTGGAGAAACCATGGGACATTCTGCTGATCGTTTAGCAGCTGCCTTTGGTGCTTCAAGGAAAGAACAGGATGACTATGCACTTAGATCACATTCTTTGGCCCAACAGGCTTTCCAGAAGGGTCATTTTACTGATCTATACCCAGTTAAAGTAAGCTATCACTTTCATAAAAATGTTGTACTAAATGCTTTTTAGCTTCCTGGTTCAGATAAGGTTATTGATAAAGACAATGGCATACGTGTGTCTAGTCCAGACCAATTAGGAAAACTAAAACCAGCATTCATTAAACCCCATGGAACAGTTACAGCTGCCAATGCGTCATTCTTGGTAGGAGTTACTTAGTGCTGAATTACACTACTACATGATAGCATCTTTCAGACTGATGGAGCTTCAGCTGCGCTTATTACTACAGAAGAAAAAGCAAAAGCTCTAGGACTGAAGCCTAAAGCCTACTTGCGTGATTTTATTTATGTATCACAGGATCCCATAGATCAGTTGTTACTAGGACCAGCCTATGCTACACCAACATTATTGGATAAAGCTGGTCTTCAACTTAAAGATATTGATGTTTGGGAATTCCATGAAGCTTTTGCAGTAACAATTACTGACATAATATTTAAACAGTCATAATTGTATATTTTTCAGGGACAAATTTTAGCAAACTTCAAAGCCTTAGATAGCGACTGGTTTGCACAAAAGTACATGAACAAGAAAGGCAAAGTTGGAAGTCCAGACATCAGTAAATTCAATGCCTGGGGAGGATCGCTTTCCATTGGTCATCCATTTGCTGCGACTGGTATAAGATTGGCAATGCACACAGCAAACAGACTTGTTAAAGAAAACGGACAATTGGGATTAATTGCAGCTTGTGCTGCTGGTGGTCAGGTAATTTAAAAATACTTTATAGAGTGAACAGAGAAAATATATTTTTCTTTCAGGGTGTTGGTATGATCCTTGAGCGACACCCTGACGCAACAGCCAACTAAATATTTTAAAAGTTACATTTGCTGAGTCAAGGAAGTGCTCTTATATTTACCCCACTTATTTTTTATATAGTTCTGGGTTCAGTAAAAATGTATATATTTCTCCAGCGCCGAGTATAAAATATTTCTTTTTCATATAATGTAAATCTCTTAAGACGTTTAATATATTTATACCTATCCTTAAGTGGTATTGGCCCATCCTGTAGAACTACCAACGTCCTGAATGTGACTTTTAACTGCCTCATCCAGAATATGTTTAATATCTCTGCAACCTTGTAACGCCTTTTCTAAGACTTTCTGAAGGTGATCAACATGAAACCTCTGTGACATTTCCATGAGTACTATTTTTCCAGACATTGGTAAAGCGGCAACAGTTAATGTGGGACCCCCAATAATTTCCTCTTGATGAGAAATATCCAACATGGGTACATCATTATTTGCTAAACTTGCTGTGCATGCACAAACATACTCCTTTAAAGGAATACCAGCATCAATCAACGCCAACGTTGCAGCATTTACACAAGCTGGATATATTCCTAAAAGTATAACTATAGAATCAAAATTTTAAATATCACAATGTTTTACCCCCATCTGCATGAAGAACCTCAACATATACGTCAATCTGTGACCAAGGATACAGCTCTGTTTTAATAGCAGCTGTAAGCGCTTGCCTTAAATGTATTGATATTTCAGTTGATTTTCGGTCCCCACGTGGTCGTCGTTTGCGTTCTCCTGTCGAAAACACTGCCATACTAAACTGGCAATTAACCACAGCAGCATCATGTTGTGCCTTGGTGCGGTTCCCACGTACCTACAAATGAATTTGGTCAAACTTGAAAATAATGTGTGACGAGATAATAACCTGATGGGGGCCATACACAGCCGCTAAAATCTTCGTCAAGCCTTGTTCCAAGTATGCACTACCGTCAGGTTCTGTAAAAACCCCCAACTTGCATCTTATTCTTCGAAGTTCGTCTGCCCGTCGACCGTCAAGTCGCAAACCGATTTTTGATAAAAGTTCTCGATTTTTACTCATTATTTCTTTACACTAATCTCACAAATTTTAAATTTAAGTAAGGTTAGGATTCTACAATTTATGTTATCCACGTGCGACGATTGGCTACACTGGTAAGGGTAATCACGTGATCTTGTGTACTGTTATTTGACAGCTGTCAAATTATTCATGTAAATTTCTGATTCATATTATCCAACAAATAAATAAAAATGGTACGTAAACCAAGATTTGCAATGAACTGCCAAAAATATACATTTATTTCAGTCCAACGAGGTGGAAGAAACTATGAAACGTATCCAGTCCCATAAGGGCGTTGTTGGAACCATAGTTGTAAACTCAGAGGGTGAGTACTTTAATGTAGGCGTTCCTATAACGTTCACATTTTATTATAGGGATTCCAATTAAAACAACGTTGGATAATACAACGACAGTGCAGTATGCTGGGTTGATTAGTTCTTTGGCAGATAAAGCTAGAAGTGTTGTTAGAGATTTAGATCCATCGAATGATTTAACGTTTTTACGAATAAGATCAAAGAAGCACGAAATTATGGTGGCCCCTGATAAGGAATTTATATTAATTGTTGTACAGAGTCCCACAGACTAAAAATATAAGTGATTTTAGCTGCTACTTATGTTCTGTTGATTAATCAATATTTAATATTTTTTACTTTTTTTTGTTTTATATTTACTACTAATAAATTATAATTTTACAACCTCCAGTGCCTCAAGCAGACCTCAAGTTGCAAAATATAACATACAACAAGTCTTTTAATATTATGATGTGCAGGGTCATTTTCGTCACAAAGCATTTTCCATTTTGACAGTTGGTCACACTGATTTTTTTCAGACGTTTTCCAAAATATTTAATCGGTAATGAAACTGCTTCTAATATATTTATAACACGGTTTGATATATTTTAGCCACACTGATAAACAAATAATACATTTTTGGTGTTATTACACTATTGTGGTATTACATAATAAAGTGAGGTTATAATTGTAGCCAATGGGTGGCCACGGGCACGGACATGAGTCCTACACAATCCCCGATTACAAAATATACAAAGTAGATGATATTCCCGAACTCTGCGCCACCAGAAAAGCGTTAGCTTCACATGGTTTGAAAGACCCTTGGCTCCGCAATGAAGTTTGGCGCTACAATCCAAAGGAATTTGGTACAGAAAAAGCCCGATTGAGAACTTTTCTTTTCAGGGGATTTAGAACTGGCTTTATAGCTTTTGCAATCACCATTGCTGGAACTGCAATTTACGATAAAATGTATCCTCCAAAACACCATGGTGAACATAGTGACCATTAACTGTTTACTTTATGTAGTTTATTAGTATTTAAATAAATTGTCGATACATTTAAATCTGTATTATTTCGAACATTTTCCATTATAAAATCATACACAAAGCAATATAATGTGCTCCATTATGAAGAAGTTCTAGGTTTAAGTTCATCATAGCATGACCTAAGAAAGATGTAGTTCTTCTTACTGGAATTGTAATATTCATGTCCTTTGGACCAGTCATAGCTAACGGCATATGCGAAGATTTGTCCATTACTATTGAAAGCGCAGCGTGTAATAGGTTGTTCCATTAATTCAGATGATTTGAGTTTAGTGCGTGCATCTTTATCCCAAAAACTAAATGAACCATCAGATCCTACTGTTGCTAATGTACCATGAACAGGATGGAATGCAATATCATTCACAGCATATATGTCTTGATATCCAGTTGGTGCACCATTAGACCGGTGACACTTGAAGGTAAAGTTATCTTTAGGATTTGTTGGATTAACATACTGGATTGCGACGCGTCCTTCCACAGAACCCAATGCATAACCAGTTGGAGTCTTCTTCTTATCTCTATAATAATAATAATTACTATCTACATAGTAAAAATAATTTAAACAAACCTGAATATTGCCACACAACGATGTTGATATTTTAGAGGACTATCAAGAACTTTATATTGTTGAGGCTTCCCATCTAGTTGATAAACAATAATTTGACGCCCTGCAGTTCCAACAACTGCCATGGGATAATCAACATCTGCACAATAGCATCTTTCTGGCAAATTGATACTCAACATTGGATTAGGGGTGCGTGTGTCCCAAAATTTCAAAGTCTTATCCCAAGACCCAGTCATTAAACAGGAATAATTAGAGGCTTTGATCCAGTGGCATGTTTTAATAGGTGCATCATGTTGCGCAACTTGTACGACTTGATTACTGGCCAGATCCCAAGCCTTAGCTTGCTTGTCACATCCAGCCATAAATACCTAATAATGAACTGAAGAATAAGGAAACTCGGAGACTTAAAATTTCCCGTTACCTTTGTCCCATCATCGCTCCAACAAACATCCAGAACAGGACCCCCACATGCTTGCATAGACTTGGGTACACTCTTTCCAGATTGTTCAATCTCCCAGCAGCGGACATTGTTATCCCAACTTCCAGCAATCAGAAAGTTCTGACTCAAGGTTGCTGGAGAAAATGCCAAAGAACTGATTGAATCGTCTGGGGGCTGAGTTACTTCAAAATCTTTCATGGGGTTTGCAGTGCTTGGGGTCGTGGCGTTACCAAAGCCACCGATCGACGACTGGTTGAACATTTTTGCGGCTTACAAGAACTTTGGTCCAAAATTAATTTCGTTGATTTAAAAAAATCGTGCCCAGGAATGTGAAAACAAAAACAACTCGATACAGCTGTCACTCGCACCAACTAAATGTCAGTTCTGTCACTTGTCAAATAGCCGGCAAGCGACATGTTTATCAACAGAGTAGCGATTCTACCCTAAATTGGCAAAAATTACTAATCAATGAAGCGCGAAATATGGTTGCTCGCAAAAAAGAATACATTTTTATTTTGCAACGAATCATACTTTACATGTAATATAATTATTGCGTTTGCTACACGTAATAACAGTCATTTATTCAAGTTTGCGTACAAGAAAAAAATTCAAATGGGGGTGTTCAACCAATCACAATTCCATTCCTCGTTCAGTTCGACCAACAAAATAATGTTTAAATTTCTAAATATGGCGGGTATTTACAGCTTTTTCCCTCGCTTTTGCTGCCATTTGTTGTTGAAACGCGGACTTTAACACAGTGCTAACTGAACACAAAGAACACCCACATTTGTGTTTATTCTAAGTTTTTATTAATCAAATTCTTTTAAATTAATTTAAATTTTAAACTACACTCTTTTAACTTGCCCAAGATGTTTGAAGCACGTTTAGTGGCCAGTGCAACATTCAAGAAAATCTTGGATGCCGTCAAGGATCTTCTTACTGAAGCCTCCTTCGACTGTTCCGAATCCGGAATTCAGTTGCAAGCCATGGATAATTCCCACATTTCACTAGTTTCTCTCATGTTGCGTTCAGATGGCTTCGATAAATACAGATGTGATCGAAGTTTAACCATGGGAATGAACTTGGCAAAGTAAGTTTCTCAAGTGTCTTATCTCACTCTCATTAAATCTGAATTTCAACAGCATGGCAAAAATATTTAAGTGTGCCAACAACGACGACACTGTAACTATCAAGGCTCAAGATGATGCTGATGTGGTCACCTTTATGTTTGAAGCCAAAAAACAAGAAAAGATTTCAGATTATGAAATGAAGTTAATGAATTTAGACCAGGAACATCTTGGAATCCCTGAAACTGATTTTTCGTGTGTTATTCGTATGCCATCTACAGAATTTGCAAGAATCTGTCGTGACTTGTCACAATTTGGAGAATCTATTGTTATTTCTTGTACAAAGGAAGGAGTTAAATTTTCCTCTGGTGGCGATATTGGCACTGCAAATGTAAAACTCGCACAAACAAATAATTTTGATAAAGAGGAAGAATGTGTCACTATTGAAATGCAAGAACCTGTTACGTTGACGTTTGCATGCCAATATTTGAACTCTTTCACGAAAGCTACACCCTTAGCAGCACAAGTGCAACTGTCCATGTCTGATAACGTCCCACTTGTTGTGGAATATCAAATCCCTGATCTTGGACATCTTAGGTTTTATCTAGCTCCAAAGATTGAGGAAGATGAAAATTAAATTTATATAAAGTAATTTAAGCTTAGAATCCAGTGTTAATTGTCCAGTTACTCCACTTTAAACGTTAATTTTAGTACATGATGTATTTTTCTACCATGAAAGAATACAACTTTCTGTCACCATTAATAATTTATTTTTACAACATACAACTACATGATTATTAAACAATATTAGTAATTCTTTTCCCACTCTTCACGTTCTTCTCTCTCCTTAATAACTTGTTCTACATATGGGGCTAAGTAATGACGATCTTCTTCCAATTTTGTCCACTGCGCTTTGGGAAGAATATCTTTTTGCAGAGACAACTGAATTGCTCTTAGGATACGGTAATTACGGGCATCACGTTCTTTTTGTGGTAGCCTTCTTAGAGCTTCTATGACATCAGGATCATATTCATCTAAGCAGTCATCTCTCATAAGTCCCAGCTTGTTGAAACCCGAAAGGTTATATGCCCACTTTTGTAAAGCACTGCTCATAAAGCGTCGCTGCACAAACTGCAGTGCCATTTTTGTTTTTCTTTGTCCCAATTACCTAAAATTATATCAGTTTACAAAAATTCACGAGTAGTTAGGTAACAACTAACCAAGAACCAAATTATCTAGAATCGTTTGCGTCTGCGCACGCAAAATGATGTTGACGTTTCCAGTAACTTTTTATGTTTGATTTGGTAGCAATGACTACTACATCGCGGGATATTTCAAATATCAACTGAACATGTTTTTACAACGAATTTTATCGGTGCATAATATAGCCATATTTGTTTATTACGTTAAAACTATACCAATAAATTAAAAAATAAAATATATTTATAACATAATTTGGTATTTTAAAGTTTTCTTCACTCTAGAAATTAATAATCTACCATCATAACTAAGGGATGCAAAAATCCAGGGCTCTGCTGGTGACCATTCAGCGCAATAAACACTATCCTCATGTTCACACCACTGTAATGGCCCATCAGATATCCTAAAACCAAGAGTAATATACACTGTAAAAGCTGCAAAAACTAGTAATATTTACATTTGTTTTGTTTCTGTTTCATCGTGTATACAAACATCGTTGTTATTTTCTGAACTAACACTTGCTGCACTAGAAATTAAAACTCTTGCATCTGAACTAGCTGACAGAAGTAGCTGGTCATGGAATGGATTAAATCTTATGCACCAGACCCTACACAAAATGATTTAAAAATAAAAACAGTAATATGCTAATGCAGTACCAGTGTGAATGATCACTTCTGGAATACACTGGTTGTGCAGTCTGTCTGAAATCCCAAATTTTTATTAAACCATCATCACCACATGTTGCAATGTGGTACTGCTTGTTCATATTGTAATCCAAATCCCTTAATAACTGACTGTGAACATTATCAATATTCCAGGCTACTTCTCCAGATCGTACATCATATGTTTTCAAATGTGTCTCAGTTGCAGTTGTAAACTACAAATAGTAATATTACTTCACACAAAGAAAATGTGCTGAATTTTTACTACTTGGTTGCAATTTTGGTGTGGATTCCATTTACCAGTTGTGAATTTGGGATTATTTTTTCCACTCAGTTGCACATTCAGGATAGATTTAGCTTCCTCCCCTGATATATCCCAAAAGACCACATGATTTTCCATCACTGTGACTGCTTTATTCAAGTCTGTGGGATGAAATTCTGTTGTTTTGATTTCACTACCATACTGGTCAGTTTCAAATTTTGTTCCAAGTGATAAATTTTCCACTGTTTCAGGGTTTTCAGTTTGCGGTATTCTGTATAATGCTGTTTTCATGCAGCAAGTGTTATCATTGGAAACAGCGTTGTAACAAGTTGCCAAACTTGTTTTATCTAACGGACTTGTGTTTAATTTCCATATTTCACCCTCTGGGTGATTAAAGACTGAGGTTTTTATGGTTGAATCTTCTTCGTTAAACTCTACCAAATGTACCTGATTGGTTGTTTGCTTGAGAGACTGCGTCCCAATTAGAAAGCGAATTTTTTCGGTTTCTGCTAGCTGTGGAGCTAAAGCTCTTGCCTGTTTAGTTTAATGGAGTTAGAAATTATTATACAAATGAATACGAAATTACCTGAAATTCCAAACCGTAAATAACAGAATTTTCGTTTTCCATGTTGATGTATGTGCAGAGAATTCTATTATGTTTATTTTTTAAACATAAGTTCAACCAGGAACATTTGCCATAGCTGTCAAATTTAAAGTAAAATGACTACCAGCCTAGTAACTTTAATTCTGCCGGTTGGTATTATTTTGACATAAGAATCGACGCTTCCTGGAATCCTGCTGCAATGGCTACCTTCCTTTTCCTCTAAACGTCAACATGGTGAGTGTGATACATGTTAATTTTGTAGAATTATTTGTTAAAAAGAACAAGTTTTAAATAGTTAAAATAAGAAAAACTTCTTTAATAAAGCAGTAAAAGTCATCGTGGTAGTTAAAATTTGATAAATAATAATTTTGAGTTGTAACCTTTTTAATTATTCTTTGTTAAACACGTGTTGTGAACTTAACATTTTGTTTTGAACAGCCTCCAAAGAAGGATACAAAGGCGTCGGCGAAGCAGCCCCAAAAGACCCAAAAGAAGAAAGAAGGTTCTGGGGGCGGTAAAGCCAAAAAGAAGGTAAAGTTTGTGTCTAATTATATGTAGCATGAGTACTATCGTTCATAACATTGCAGAAGTGGTCGAAAGGAAAAGTACGCGATAAACTTAATAATCAAGTTTTATTTGATAAAGCTACCTATGATAAGTTATACAAAGAAGTACCTTCGTATAAGCTCATCACTCCATCAGTAGTGTCAGAAAGATTGAAAGTTCGTGGATCTTTGGCCAGGAGAGCGCTAATTGAATTGCAACAGAAAGGTAATAATACAACCATCTATTAAGTTGTATTTTCACACAATATGATGATACTTTTTTTTTGTAACCAGATATACTGTGTTGGTACAACAAAACTGATTTAATGAGTCTGATGTTCCATGTTCCACAAATATGTGTGAACATAGTGTCAAGTCAAATGTTGTTAATTTTTTTTGTTTTAGGTCTTATTAAACAAGTGGTTCAACATAGGGCACAGTTGATATACACAAGGACCACTAAGGGTGACGATCAGGTTGCATAAAATGTATGACTACATTTGATAATAAATAGTTTAAAAAATACTTGTTCTTCTTTGTAAAATATTTTGTCTCCCATCAAACTGCAACTTGGGGTAACAAATACCTATGTACTTTAAGAAATTAAAAGTCGCGATTGTTACCCAGGGACAGAAAAAAAAAACAATATTGATTTGCTAACAATCAGTTGCTTCACTTGTGTTGATTGATTAATCAATCATTTTTAGTGTGATTTATTTTCACCTTTGACTTAAAGAGAACTGTAAATATAAAGAATATAACTCTGGGACTCCTTAAGGTTAAATAAACTAACCTACATTTTTTGTATTCATTTACTGTAACGAATTATCAACAAAAATTTATTTAGCTATTGTGCTGAATACCTTCCCTCGCTTCGAGGTTATGTTGTTCTAACCTAACGATATTATTTTGAAGAAACATTAAGTTATAAATTAGGCATATTAATTCCTATGTATATGTTCTTAAAAATTTTGTAGACACCATTTATAAATGAAAAGCTATGGAAAATTGTGTTCTTAAACAAATTTACGTTGAAGAAAATACACCACTTCGAGTGTGTATTACTGTTGAAGATAATTCGGTGGAAATACTGCTATTTCAAGAAGAAAAATGTTGGAATTCTAGTGTAAGCCCCCTTTTTGCCACATATTCTGTCTTTCTTTTAATATGCGACTTTCAGGTTGCTAAAGAAAACCTGCAACATTTTGCCAACGAACACAAACTTACAATTGAAAATTATTGTCAAAATCTACTGGAGTATATAAAAACTTCTAGTCCTGATATAAAATATGTTTTCAATTCAGAAGAATTTATTATAAATCGATTACTGAAAGGGTCGTTGACAGTCAAATACTTTATTTGCAAAGTACAGAAGGTATTGCTTGAATTTAAATGTTGCTTAATAGTTTTTTGTTTATATTTTATTTCAACATTGCTCTTAAATACCGTAATACGTTGTAGACTCGATATGTAGAGCATGTCGAACAAATAATGGACAAATTTTATTTTGAGAATTTAAAACTCCTAGAAAATGTCAATATTTTTAAGAAGGCAAATGAAGAATTAACTGACTGTAATCTCTCTTAAATGTATTAAGTTTCAGATTAATTTTACAATTTTTAGGTAAGAACCAATGTGAACTGAAATTAAAGCAACTAGTTGCACAAAAAAAGTCTGATGAAAGTGAACAATTTGGTCAGTTTTTGCTAATCTTGAACGAGAAAAAACGACGCATTCAACATTTGACTGAACTTTTGGAAGTTTTTAAAAAAGGTAGACCGATCAGTAATCCTGAGGTGAAAGTTGGAAAACAGAAAAGTAAAAAAGGCGCCAAGAATTCTGCAACTGTGCAGAAAAAGGAAACAATATCAGAGTCTGAAAGTGATGACGACGACGATGAGTCATCACTGGGGCACAATACCACCGATGATGAGTCTATTGAAAAAAGTAAAAGTGCATCACCAATTGAAAATAAACCGTCGACTTCCACAGAAACTTTTGATTTCTTAGAAGATGATATTGCTCAAAGTCATATGTTGCCTAAAAGAGCTAAGCATTCAAAGCCTGAAGAAAATATCGTTGTTGTGCCTAAATCACCACCAAAGACTGAAGAGGTGGAAACTCAACAGCAAGCTAGATCTCCTGGAATTGACTTAAGTACACAACAACTTCTAGATATGCTTTAAAAACTTTTGGAATAACCTTTTTCTAAACACTTTTCTTATGTAGGTGTATACATTCTTTGTCATTTTCATAAAATAAGACCAAAGTGTAATAATTAAAATAAAATAATTATTCGATTTGAATATTAATTCTTTACTCATTACAATAATTCTTATACAAATATGAACTACAAAAATGACAATCTATTATGATTTGTTTAACCATAGATGAACAGCAATTATACAAAATTTAAATGATTATAAATGGTAAGTTTATCCGTTTGTTCCTCTACCAAACTAAAACTTCCAATTGGATCCCCATGTAAAAAAGTAAAGTTATTTGAAAAAAAAATCAAGTCATGTGCATTAATTTACAAAGAGTGAGTGCAGTGTCTACAGTGTTCCTATCTTAAAAATTCAACCGACAGAAGTTGTTATACTGGAACAAACATCTTAGAAAATTTTGTATCATACTGAATAGTCACTTAAAACGAAAATCACAATGTAATCAAACGTGAACGAAACCCAATAGTACTAGTATTAACTAATTAAATTACACTATGCAAGAGACAAGGAAAATCACATATTTTTAGAAATAAATAATCAGGTCCTGATCGAGTATAAAATATAAGACATCCAGACTATTTCTTTCTAAAAACACATAATACAGTACTCAGAAGCATTTGAAACGAATCAAGTCAAAACTTCTTTGAATTAATGAAGTTTATCAATAATTAGGCTAATAATATTGGTGTTTATTACATTAAAATTTAACAAGGTTCATCAAAAGAAGGAGAATGAAACATAACCAGATTTAAAATAACTATACATACAAGACGGATATTACTATAATATAAATTAGCAGCAACTTGCTACTGAAGAAATTAAGAGATGACCTGCAGACAAATGATGACTAAATTTTCAGCAACATCCTGACTTGGTTGTTTCAATTGGACGCCCTTGATCAATCTTTACTTTGCTCGCTTGATCAGCGGCCGAGGATGGCGGCCCAACTCGATTCTTGATTTCTGCGGCCATCGTCATGAAAGCCTGTTCAACGTTGGTAGCATTTTTCGCTGACGTCTCTAGGAAAGGAATGCCTAATTGATCCGCATATTCCTGTAATTAAACCTCTTACTCAAAACACCCTTGTTTTAATCACGTCATCAACTAGGTACCTTTGCTGTTGTGTAATCTACCACTTTCTTTGTAGTAAGATCACTTTTATTTCCCACTAACAACTTGTTTACATTATCGCATGCGTAACGATCTATTTCTTCCAACCACTGTTTTACATTATTGAATGAGTCCTGATCTGTACAATCATACACCACTATAATACCGTGTGCTCCTCTGTAATAACTGGAAGTTATTGTTCTGAATCGCTCCTGGCCAGCTGTGTCCCACTAAACAGGAAAACATGGTTAGAGATTCTTTTTGCAGACCATTATTTCTAGACCTTTAAGCCAGTAGTTTCAAAACACGAGAGGAAAATGTCTTTTAGCAAACCTAAACATGTATTCGCAAATTTACAAAATTTTTGTTATACAAATTCAAGTTATTTACATTTTTTTTTTTTATTTTGATTAACATATAACACGTTTACTGAAGAAAAATGTATTAACATCAATTCTTTTCTATTTAATAGAATCCGAAATCCGCTGCCTGCAACTGACAGTAAATTCACTTGAAACGTTTTTGAGTACCTACATAAGTATCCATTTAAATAACACGTATCAGCAGGACCGTATCAGTAGTTTTAAGTGCACTTAAGATAATATTTTAATTATTACTTTTATGTTGCATTAACCAATAATAATTTTAAGTTTTAAAGCTTAATGCGACTATTTTTAAATACCACCTCTTTTATACATTAGAAAGTTAGTTTTACAAATTTGTGAAATAATATGACGAATATCATTCCACAGGTACATGAAAAGGACAACAGTGTTGTTGAAAAAAATGAACCTAACGATTTTGAATTTTTATTTCAACAAAACATGTTTCCATTAAATATCAAAACATATTTCAAAAGACTTTTTCTTCAACTGAAGAAGTTTTCAAGATTGGTGACTGCTCCAGGAAGTTAGAAAATGTGAGAAAAGTGACTGAATTTGACTTTATAATTCAACAACAAGTTTCTCCATTTTGATGCTAAATTGTAGGATCAATAACTGCAAATTTGTAAAATCCTATAAATTAATATAGTGATTGATAGTGTTAAGTTAAAACTAATGGTTTTATTAAAATTGTTAAATTAATCTCCTCTAAAAAAATAATGATGTTATTTTAAACTACTTTTGAGTAAAACTTCCTTGACATATCTTACTGATATATTCCTTTACCTTTTCATTATTCATCCCTGAAAGTTCATTCATTTTAATTCAAATGTTAAAATCACTAGTACAAATGAACACTGGAAATATCGCCAGTATTATCATTTCTAAAATTTAACATTTTAGTAAACGATGTTTTGATACTAGAAAATTAATTAGGTTATCAATCCCTGCAAAACGTTGCTGACATATTTTTTTAATAACATTGTAAATTGATCATCACCGAAGTGGTACTACAAACGTGTCTAAAATTGTTATCGATATAACGTCATCATATAAACAAACGGGGGCAGTCAACAAAAAAAAGTAGGTGTCATTTTATTCCGATGACAATGAGTGTGAAATAATGGTCTTTACGATATCTGTACTATAACATACTACAATTTATTTGACTAATGACGTCACCAATTGAATTACAAAACATTTATGAATTTTATTCGTTAACGTATTTTTATAATATAATTTTTTAAACTATTATTTATTCTTCTCTTTAAATATATCGAACCACTGTTCTTATTTAAATCGCAAAACCAACAAAGAATTACCATCGAAAATTGTTTCAGTTTCTTATCAAACTGTGTCAAAACGTTTATATTTCTAGGTAAAGTGTCACTCCAAGTCATGTCGACTTTTTTATCAAGTGAGCTTTAAATTTCGTAAAGATATTAAAACTATACTTAAGAAAGCCAAACATATAGTCATGACAATGCGTGATCAACACACGTACTGTTCTTGTTGGTTCGAAAACGCGCGCCTTTAAACCGCTTTTACGGTATTCTGTAAAATCGCAACTACAGTTATCACGGGGTGTTAAAGTGGACTAAATGTGGAGTCGGTATTCATTATTCAGGTCGTTGCGAGAGCAACAAACGAATAAATCGAACTTTTTGGTGGATACTTTTCGTACTTGTCTATCGCTACGTCGGTTCGACGAGCTGATCTAGTTCAAGGTGTGTTTTTTGCAACAATGCAACAAATTTAATGCTTCCCGTTTTATTTTTAATAAAAACGATGACCTGAAATTTGACTCACCAAAAGAACATTTGGGAATGAATTCCACTGCATTACAACTTTTAAAACTTCATATTTCGCTAATTACTGTTATTAGAAAGCTTTGACAACTAGCTCAATGTAATGTTAAAAAAAATCAATTAGAAGATAAACAATAATGACAAAGAAAAGAAAATTTAGGTCACAATTGGCTACAACATAAAAACTCTTTAAAATGATAAAACAAAGCCATTTAGCCATCTTTTAATCACGTTTTGGAATTGTTTACACTAAAGCGACGAAATTAAAATTTTTACAATCCCTACAGACAAAACTGCTGCAATGCGAAAGTGTCATGTTTAATTAATTGGAACGAGTCGACCTTTGTATCTAGTGGCGTGTTTCTAATCAACCCCATTTTTGTAACAAACTGTATGTTTGTAAGTGGAACTGGTAAAATATTATGTATTTAGTTGACCAGAAATACTTCCACAAAATTTAACTGAACTATGACAGAACATAAAATAATTGTTTCATTACACTGTTTTAATGTATAGTTAAAGCAAAACTGAATTAGACTAATTTACGACATGTATGTACAAATTTGTAAATGTAAAATTTAACCAGAAGAAATGTAGTTTGTGCAAAACCTGTATACTAAAATAGAAAATTTTGAATCTCTATGAATGGTTAAACTGTCTTTCTAGTAACTTTTTATGACTACCACGAGAGTGCGCCAAGGTCAACTTTTCTAACTTCACCCTAAAAGATAATGAACTACCAAATTCAGCACTCTGCCTGTTGTCTATACACTGAATTTGTTCTTTTGTTACAGTGGCGACAGTTTTTGAGAGCAACATAAATAAACATGAATAAATCAAAAGAAAAGAATATCTGTATTTGTCAAAAATTCAAATGAAGTGACTAATAATAGGAGTGACCTCCAGAAAAATAAGAAATATTATCAAGTTGCGCCACTAGTAAACAGGACCCAAAAGACTAAAAAGTTTATGAAGGTCAAGTTTTGCTTGTTTTCCCTCTCATTTTGTTTGTTACAAACAAATAAGCAACATGTGGATTCCAATAATTCAATGTTTTTCTTCAGGAACTGTAATAAGCTATAATTTGGGCACCTACAGTCCATAATAGATCCTTTTTTTTTTCAGCAACATTATGTTAAAATCATTGACTTAAAGGTCTAAGAAAACAAATGTAAAAAAAAATAAATTACAATTCTACAGACAAGTAAATTAAACACTTACAATTTGAAGTTTTATTGTTTTGCCATCTAGATCAATTGTGCGAATTTTCTGTAAGTAAAGGGAAAAATAATGCCACTTAAATCAAGAAAAGAGCCCACAATACTTACAAAGTCTACGCCAATAGTACTAATGTAACTTTCCGTATATGTGTCATCCTAAAACCCATAACATTAAGGTGTATGATACAATATTTGTGTAATTTTACTCACTGCAAACCTAAGTAGTAAACACGACTTTCCAACGCCTGAATCTCCAATCAGGAGGAGTTTGAATAAATAATCGCTGTAAATAAAAATGTCATTAAATTTTGACGTTATTCTTGTAACAGCTTTGGCTCATAAACTCCCATCAGGTGTTAGTAGTAGAATTTAAAGAATGACATGACGACTCAAACAAAAGGAAGTGAAGGAGGCCATTTTTTGAGTATGGACTTTTGGAATAATGACTAATGTGTACAAGTTGGACAGTTGACTCATGAAATCGTAAGTGACGTGCCACTTCTCGATAATTGAGATGTCGTGAATAGTGGGTGGAAACGCATAGGAAATTGATCGCCGCCACCAGTACCACAAAGAATTAACAACTTCCACAAATTACTTGAATTAGAAAGCATGATAATTGAAAGAAAAAACTGAAATCTTGACGCAAACTGCGCAATACACGTCAAAAATATTGCATTGGAGTTCCAACAAGTCAAAAAATAAATAAATCGATACTTACTACTCTGGATTCATATTTTCTTTATTTGCTATAAACAATAGGCTTAAACAACACTATATACGTTTACGTTTCTCTACTGTCACCCTAATTTACACGTAAAACTACAGAAATTTCATACACAAATAAGCAAATTCAGGACAATGGCTACTGCGATTGACGTATCGCGACAACTTTGTTATTAACTTCTTTTATGTTGGCCAGATGACAGCACTGGGTAAAGTTTGGCGCTAAAATTAAATATTTCGCAGTGCCACTGTTTTCCTAAATCCTGCAATTAAAAGTTTAGTAGGTGCCCTTATATTTAATTTTTTAATACTGTAACAATAAAAGATTCAAAATTTCTTGTCTCGCTCTCTTAGTTGCAAACAATCAAAAACAATTAAACAAATCATGTATGGATAGTAAATAACTGGTGGGCATTATGATTGTATTGTGTCTAAAACCCCGATAACGGTAACTACACTTGATTCCTTCTGAAGTTTGATAAATCAAATTCAGATAAATTGTACTAATGTCAGTCTTCACTCACCTTATTTATAATATTTCGCCAACTTGTGTACTTTTAGCGTATATTATCTAGGTACTGAGATGAAAAATTCTTTTTTTTGCATAAAAATGGAAAAACATTTAAAAACAAATTTAATAACTCTGAAAATTAATAAATGAGCCTTCTTAATATTAATTGTCTAAAGAAATGTATTAAGTTTACCTACGAAAAATATCCTATAAATTTGTAGGTACATATATATATATTTATATACTAATTAGTTAGTACTTATTCGAAGCCCCTAATAAACTGCTCATTATTATAATGGTGGTGATTTGCAATGCTTGCCTGCTTTTCGGTTGCGTCTTCGAAAGGATCGAAAGTTTTGCTAAACAGACGTTGTTGTCCATTATTATAAGTATGTATAGCTTGCAATGATTAAATAAATGAATTGGTGTCCTGCTCCAATTTTGATAAAATCTTTAATGTAATCGCTGATATTTTGATGGACTTCAGTATACTTAATGCACATTCGCATCAAAATAGTGGGAAAATTCCAATGAGAAACATTTTCAAATCACTCCCATTTGCCAAGTTGCAAATTTTTGTTTCGTCATTAAATCTAAAGAAAAAGCATTCAATCTGAAGGCGACAACAGATAACAATTTTGTGCACACTTAATTTTTCACCTTTTGCGAGAAGATGTTATCATTCGTTAGACAGTTTGTAAAAATGTGTTAAGTGTTTTAAGCTGAAAGAAGAACACGTGCAAATCCAGAATACCTGTTTTGTACAAATCTCAGCTAAAAATGTTATGCTTTATTTCAGGTTTGCACAAAAACCGTTAAAAATTTCATCTGTCTGCACTTTCGAAAAGACTTAAGCTTCGTAATTTATGGCATGGTTCCACCCTTTTCTGCTTTCAGTAATGCCTGAAGATGAGTTCTCAGAACTGCTAAATCCTCCAAAGGATTCAACCGACAAAACCGCTACCACCGAAGTACCTGCCAGCTAAAAACTTATCTAATGATCTAAAGTTTTGAATTTTCACTTTGTGTGAGAAGTCGTCCACAGTAGATAAATTATAGTTTTTATGTAAAAATAATAGGTTTTACGAAATTACGACTTGACTGCAACACGAAACAACAGCTTTTGTTTATATATTATCCCTCTGAGAACTTGGTTTTTTAACAAATTAGTATCAAAGAGAAAGATGTTTCGGGTGTTTCATTTTACTGAAAGTCTGATCCACACTATATAAAGCAAGGAAGAAAAACTGTATCATAATAATGATAATAGTAATAACAATAACAAAAATTAAATTTATTCTAAAAGAAAAATGTCTTACAGTACAAACTGATGTTCATACACACAGGATATATTGTGTTAATTGTGTTTAAAAAAAAATTGAAATATGTTTATAAAAATTGTGCGCCGCTTAGCAGAAAACCATGAAATATGTGGAAACGACACAAATAACACGAAGTACATGACCCAGTCATAGGTGTTTTTTTTATTTGTTGAGTGTTTACCAACAGCTCAACCAAAACACGTTGGTTTAAATCCATTAATTTAATCTGTTTTAAATTTAAATTTCATTTATTTTGCTCTTTTAGAAAAATTCCCCATAATGAATTTACTAGAGATAAATTGTTTTGTGCACCACTTTAGTGTTTGTTGGTATGAATCCATTTTATAAATTACTCAGCAATAATGTTTCTAATTTCGATCAACTTCTATAAACAACTGAAGCCTATGTTTAGCTTTAGACTTAAGTAAAAAATCCTAAATAAATCTGTTATGAAAACAACGCCCGTTTCTTTTTTGATTACTTTAAAATTAAGTTGAGACGAAATTTGGAAATATAAGTTACTATCCAAAGTAAACAAGCATATTATTCAAAAACAACTTTGTTTTTTCACGAAAGGATTTGCCCGAAATGGGTTTTCGTACAATTTGGAGACTCGAACAAATATTGAATACATTCGGGGTACTGTATAATGCAAAAATGAATTCTTTGTAAACCTATCCGCTATTGTTATAGTTACCTATTGTCTAGCTACCTCCCTCGTCACAGTGCACTGTCCAGTACCGTCCCAAATGGATTTGGAAATTTCCGCTCGCCATAAACACGTCAGCAATAATTGCAGAGGAAAGTACGGTCAATAAATTATCGTCTTGGGTTTTGCAAATTTTATTTTTATGGCCCTTAATAGTGCCGATGCGTCTCCAAAAAGACGACTTTATGAAGCTGGTAATCTCGACTGTAATCATTAAAGACGATGCGACGTATCATTTAGCGACAAAAATGTTTATCGCGTTATATTACGTACATAATGTGTACCTATGGTTTAAATTTTTTAAAGGTTTAATATGAAAAAGTTGAGTAATCTGAAATTTGATCGTACAAAAATTGCATTTCCGTTTTCAATCGTAATGAAAACGAGTTTCCTTTTTTGAAAATTCAGTCTAAAACAGAACACTCGTGTAAAATTGATGGTAAGACTCTTAACATTAGTGTCAAGATTGTCAAGTAGTTTGTTTATTTATTCTCTTCTTTTTCCATTTCTTTAAGCTGGTGACACTTGTTTCTCAGTTGTTAACGAAATCACAACTCACTTTTTTAGAACTGACTTTGAAATTATAAAACAAATGGGTTTTTAAAACTGAAAAATTTTTACTTGCACCTCCATCTACGAGTATTATTGTTGTAATCGAGTCCGTCAAAATTGTTACTTCAAAATTGTACAAGTAAATTAACACATTTAGTTTATGACTCCGTGTTGAGTAAAAACCCGAAATGTCCAAATTTTTGGAAAAAAAATCAAAATTTTAAAACATTTTGCAATTTAATTTTGAATTTGCAAAACCGAGTGCTTTGCAGATGTTTTAAAGTTATGATAAGTATGATATATTTTTAATCAAAATATTTATATTTGCTTATCTCCTCCAAAAAATTGATGATGTCATCTCAAAATTTGCCGAATAAATTGTACCCAAAATGTGCTAAATATGATGAGTTTTTACTTGTGATTTATCACTGCATTCATATTTTTTTAGATTTGCTTATACAAGTGGGTCAAAAAATTAATGAATGAGTCTATTTATTTTATTGATTAAATCAGGAACGGCTTACCCCATTTTCCCAGATAATTTTGGGAATACAATACTGTTATTTTTATTCGACTGTACCAATTCAAGTTGACATACGTTTCATTGTACTTTAGGTGCGAGGGAAGTTCTGTCGAAACAACTTCCGACTAATTTTTATTAGGTGCGTTGCTGAGCTTTAGGTGAAAACTTTAGATTTGGGTACGCTTTTTACGACTCTTAAATTGTGGAGGACTATAAACTTGAAGTAAAAAAAAATTTGAAAACGCAAATGCAAATCTAAATCTAAAGTTAATTTCAATGCAGTTCGTTTACTTTAATTTTATGTTAAAATATGTTTACTGATTAGCCGCACTAATCTCAATATGGTTGCGTTATATTGCGTGTTTTGTTGTTTACTACAATTTTTTATTTATTGTTATTATTAATAATGTCGATAGCACAGTAAATCTTTTTAGATTAGAACATATGCAATTTATTTTAAATTTTATAATTTAAATATATCTTATTTACTATTCCTTGCTGCTGAGGAGTGTGTCAGTAACATTAAGCAAATATACGAACTTATCAGTAAACCGATGTTGATTACACCAAATTTTATGCGCTTGACGCTCAAAAATTTAAAATGCAACATGTGAAAGCCATTAAATTTTACGGTCATTGTGTTAAAGTCCGGTTTTTATAGAGGCAATGGTTCCGACATTTTTCAGGTCAACTGCCCTTCAATCACCCCCATAAAATATTATACGGTTTTCAAAAATACTAGTTTATTAGGAGTATACAGAAACCCGACCCGTTTATTTTATTGTATAATTCCAGAGATCCCGGTCACGCTTTTGACAATAAAAAAATATTTTCTTCCCCTATTATAGTTAGAAGAGGAGCTGTCAAGCAAGGTTACAGCTTTTTTAATTTGATTTATTCCACTTATGTAGAACAGATTTGTGTAGACTTACTGCAGTCATAAACACATAAACTTACTTTTTGTTGGTAAAGTATTTTTTAACCCTTGTCATCCCAGTGTTTGGTTGAATTTTTCCCGAATCATGGTTTAAATTAGTCTTCGACGAACAAAAAAACTCCATCATTCACCATCGTTATTGGTTTCTACAAGGTTCCTCGACTGTTATAACTACAGTTCATTTGATTCGCATGATTTTAAATTAAAACGAAAAAACGAACCCTTTCAAACACGGGTCAAATAGACATAAAAGTATTGCACACAAATGATAAATTCGTTCCGTCATGTGCAAAAAAATGGTCTAAAGTTATTATTAGACAGAAGTTTCCCGTCCCCTGAAGCACAGGCGAACAAATACAGATTCTTCGATAAATTATTATAAATTAAAAAAATTGTGATGAAGTCATTAACTTTTTAGTAAGGACGAGTATATCAGTACATTGTTATATTAATAATAACAGTACTGTATTTCCAGAATTTTCTATTTAATCAATACAATAAAGGACTTCATTAATAAACTTCTTCAGATATCATGTAAACAATTTTTTGCCCAACAAGTCTCTGGGTTACTGGGTTGGAAGTTACGTCAAATCTTTTTTCAGTTATCTTAAAAAATTGGTCTAAGATTATTTCGACAAACTTCCCTCGCTCTTGAAATATAATCCTACAAATCCCGCTTCTTTAAAAAATTATAAAATTGATTTTGCGGTTTTCGTTCTGTGATAACTTCTATAAAGTAAAAATCAGCGGTATAAATAACAACCCCCACAGTCCCTGTACTCCCAAGTACGGACAATGTAAAATACATATATAGCACATAACTATTCGAGATAAAATGTCCTCTCAGCACTACTGGCAATATAAAGTTCAAGTGTTTGTGTTTATACATCGAAAGAATGTCACGTCGAAATTGATTTGATTTGAATGAGTTTGTCTTCTGAAAATGGAGAACTAAAATTATTAATTAATTAAACTACAATCGAACACAATGTCGTGAATACTATAATTCTTATTTTATCATTATTAAATAAAGACGTGCGTATTCTCACATTTTCGAAAAAATGGGATGGCCCGTTCTTAATTTGACCAATAAAAAATTTGTAGTGACGTCAACAACATAGATAAGATAATAACGGAGATTACGTGTCTAATAGAAAGGAGAAATGAGAGATCACTTTTTTCGTATTCTAGGGGTGATGAAACGTCGAGAAAACAAGCAAGTCGCCCGATGGACTCGATTAGATTAGACTAGATTCTACTATACATCCTTAGCTTACACTCAGAAAGTAAAAACGAAATCTTCTTCACTATGGCCCATGTACTCGATGTTAAGGGTAATTGTTAGCACATAATATTAAAGTAAGAAATCGCGAACACTAGGATTGCAACAAATTGAAGATTTTTTGAAAAATCTTTCTAATAGCAAATATTTATTTATGAAAGTCTGTATTTTAATTTTTAGTTACATTTATTTTACGTATTATTTTAGGTCGTTTGTGTTATTGTTTTAAGTGGCGCCTGCCAGAAGCAAGAACTGAAAAATATGAAAATTGATGACGTAGAAGATACTGGGAATTCACTTATCATTAAAATTCCCGATTTTAAAACCAAAACACAATGCTCTTTTGTAGTGTCTAATACATTTTACTCAATATGCAAAAAATATATGAATCTTCGCCCTTCTAGCCAGAACGCTAATAATTCAAATTTCTTTCTAAACTAGAAATGAAAAATGTACAAAACAGTGTATTGGAATAAATAAGTTTGGTATAATTCCGAAAGAAATTGCTCTGTCTCTGTACACCGGACATTGTTTCAGGCGGTCGTCAGCCACTATTTTGTAAACGTGGGTGGCGATATGTTAACGCTGAAGGCGACATTGAAGAATCAATTCAGAACAAGGCTTCAACAGCAAATGTTATTGCAAGTGCAATAAATTACAACCCTTCAACGCCGGAAAATAAAATTAAACAATAACAACATAGAGTCTGGTCCGTCCACCTCCAATAACTTTAATAACGAGGAATCTACATCACATTATAATCAGACTATGACTCTACCTTTTCATAATTGCACTACTACCATAACGTTTAAATGCTGTGTTCCATTCATGTTTTGTTATATTTTCTGTGACATAACACTGTTTAATATTAAAAAAATGTTTTTTTACTTAAAGGGTAAGTAGTCGTAGAAAAAATATAGTACAGAATTCGAGTGGTAAACTCATTACACACTTTCGCTATCGCTCGTGGCTCAAACTTCGAAATTCGTGTGTAATGGGAGTCTTACTACTCTTGTTATGTAATATACTATTACAGTTAGACTTTCGTACCTAGAAAAAAAAATTTTTTGGGTCAGTTCATTCAACTGTTCAGTTTTCAGTTCATTCAACTGTACAGTTTTTCTGTTATCGCTTGTAAAGTGGGTTTAAATTTGACTTTTACAGTTGATATTTCCAGCAATGAACGAGATATGTTTCAATGAAAACACAGTTACACAGTTTTAGATTTGCCAAATTAAACTTCACAAATAATAAATCAAATAGAACGCTATCACAACACAAATAAATGAATATTTGTTCTGAAACTACATAATGTTAGTATCTTACCAACTTTGATATGTCTTTTGTGTAGTGTTTGGAAAAAACTCCAAAATTAAATAATACATAATTGGATTAATATAATAATTTAAGTCAAAAATGATGGCAGATTATATATAATGCATATATAATAATATTTCAGAAGAAGTCAATATAGAGTTAGAAACATTTGAAACAGACGAGCGAAAAACTTTGGTTCGTGTTTTACTATACTTACGGTGTCTGATATATACTTTTCACTTCCCGGGCGAAGCTAGGGAAATACTATACATAATAGGTCCATATGGTAAATGGCTACCTTCATGTCTTCTCGACATTTCATGAATTCTAGAGTACGTAGATGAAGTCCCGTCATCTTTTTCGCGTGTTATAAAACAATAGACTTCTGTACTCGTGATTTATGAATCCGCCTTGATTTTTATCACAGTTACTTTACATGTTTTTTGTGCAATATTTTCCACGCGTTTCATGTGATTGATATGTAGCTCATGCAGAAAATACTTCGTGGTATGTACATACGTGGCGTAGTTGGTTAAGTGGCAGATTATCGAACTTGTGCTCTGTCACTGTGAGTTCGAATCCCATCCTTATCGCGAATGTTTTTCTCTACACTGTGATGGTATTATCTACATTTTTTTACTCATAGGTGTTATCATAAAATAAATATAATTTTGTAAAATCATTTTTTTTTTCGAACAAACTGGATTTGTTCGATTAAGAAGTTATGTCTAAATAACTTTAGACCGATTTTTATTATTTGTTCTTTGTATAATCTCAGACATTTTGATTTTGTTAAATACGATAATATAGTGCTACCAAGAGTAATTTTGATTAATATACACGGACCGGCAAAAAAAACCGGCCACCCTGAAAAATTTCGCAAAACCAAGCTTTAACAATTATTAATTTAACTACGGATCGTTATTTTATTAAAGAACCATTCACTTTTTACACATTAGGTATAAATTAGCAAAAAAAGAAGCCAATTAAACGCAGAATTAAATTAATTTAACAAAATAACAGAAACAGAGCGACACTTTCAGAGACGTCTGCAAGAGTTAACGAAATTATTTTCGCGTGAAAACGTTTATTAATTGCCAAACTTATAATCAAATGATGAGAAACACTGTTTACAACAATTTATTATTTAAAAAAATATATATCGTACTTGGTCTGTTTCTGTTATTTTGTTAAATAAAATTTAATTCTGCGTTTAATTGTCTTCTTTTTTTTTTGCTAATTTCTACATCGTGTGTCAATAGTGAATGATTCTTTAATAAAATAACGATCACTAATTAAATTAATAATTTTTAAGTGGTTTCGCGAAATTTTTCAGGGTGGCCGGTTTTTTTGCCGGTCAGTGTACATTATATACAGATATTAGATATAATAAATTATATTAACGTACTCCTAAAATGAAAACTAAATTTATAATAAAGACGAAATTAAAAATTTAGTCAGGGAATAAATGGAAAACATGCGATTATTTTTTAAACTTCTCCGTTTCGTAGAACACAATGTTGCGGCCTTGAAACATAGAAATGTCCACGATTTTTGTTCTGCGTAAGAACTTTTAGAGTAAGCAAAGCGATGAACATGAATCATTTATTGGTTAATACATTGATTACATGATTAAAAAACTGGAAACCCAGAAAATCCATATTTTTGCCTGAAGGCTGTTGCCATGCAAAACTAATGACCAGTCCGAAGGGAGTTGAGTACTGGCGAAAGATGTTGGGTTGACACCATAAAGACGTGTTTACTACCTTCTTGTTTCCGTTCTTCCGTTGAACAAGAGCTTCAAAGCTGTTAAAATACAGCCTTGAAACAAACAAGAAAATGCGACGCTCGGACCAACAATTGAAGAAAAACTAACTCGTGCTTTATTTTAGACGATCTCTCAAATTTGCATAAGAGAATAGATCGAATTAAGTCTGCACAGCGTTATTTTTGTAATTTTTGTAATAACAATGCGATAAATTAGTCAAAATATTTGTCTACAATTTACTACTAATTTACAATTTACAAAATTATTCTTAGGGGTTCTAAGTTGTTGACTTTGGAATCATTTGATAATAAAATGATAATCAAATGCGACTAAAAAATGTATGTAATTAAATTTTTCACTGATTTGTATGCTGTTGTTGGTGTCATGGTCATGAAATCTGATAAAATAATAAATAGTTGCAGCAATCAAAAAATTTCAAAACGTAGAAGAAAAAGATATCAATTAAAGAAAATCTTTTACTGATGTCTTATTGGAATCAACAATTTAACCATGAGACAGTATGTCAGATCTTGTAAATGAAATAATTTTTAAACAGTGATATATTTTTTGCTAATTTGAAAACAGTTCAACCAACGCTTAATCATTTCTGCATATCATTTCTTGTCTTGTCGATGTTAATAAGAGCCTCATATCAGTTACTGATAAAATTGGTCTTTTTTATCTTGTACTTTTCCTACAGCTAATGTCTTTGTTTATCTTGTTTCACTAATGTAGAGTCCAGAGCAATGGTTGATTTGGCGAGCATTGTGGACCATTGGCAGAAACCTATTTATGCGAACTGCGCATAGGGAGGGACATGCAACCCCTAGTTGGGGAAGGGAAGGGCGGAAAAGTGTACGAAATTCCTGATATCCATCAAGAAAGGTCGCAGTCTCAGTGCGACACAACATAGAAGTGAGATAAGTGGTGTTGTCAGCAAGTGTCCAACAAACTGCCGTTTTTATGGAATAATGTAAGTCACAAACGTCTTTATAAATCATAACCTCCTATTTCTAAGCTGTGTAACTCTACTTAGCCTAAACTAAGTGCATTTTTTACATTTTTATTACACAAAAATCAGAAACTTTGCGGTTTTTGACATTTTTTTCAAAATCTGTTTTTGCCACAGCTTGAAAAAAGGAGCTCTATCTTGTTGGTATGATTAATTGCGCGTTGTTGTGGGTTGCAAATATCATCTCAAGTTCATTTTTGACTATTATTTTCAAAATACGAGTTGAACTTCTAACTTAAGTACATAATTTTTAACTAACAACACCAAAAAATGCTGAAAGTATAAATTCTGACAATCCTTTGCAATTTGGATATATTTTCAAGGCTCAAGGTCAAGTACAGTGTTCTCTCTCTGATTCACAATGGCCGTAGTAAGATATAACGATCCTCTTTTGCTTGCATCGAATGCTAGTCCCGTTATAGAAACTAGCAGCAACCTCCAATCCTGACCTACGCAAACAATTTCGTGTGAGTGCAGGGCGAGAATTAGAACAGTGGTTCTCAAACAGGCGATGTATTTGATCGATTATTTCTATTTTCTTCACTCGAAATTGTTACAAGACTTTGTGATATTGAAACGACAACGTGGCAATAATAAGCGTGTGGCTAAAAGCACCACACATTAAGAATCGTAGACCGTGCAATATATGAATTTAGAACCTCTGATTTAGAAAGTTATCGAATGTAAAACTCAGTAGCGGAGAGTCACTATTGTTGCTTAGTACATTACAGTAAAAATATTTGTTCTAATCATATTTATGTAGCTTGGATTTTTCAAAACAGACCAGAATTATCAAAATTGTGATAACCAAAAACAAAGATTTTTTGGGGGGATATTTTGTATGAAATATGAAGACGATATTTATTGGTACTTTTTTCTACGATCGTCACTACTATAACGCAGTTTTTACAAATTTAATGCATTCATAACAAATTAGTAGTGGTGTCACGAGTCATCACTGGCAGAGGGTGTAAACATAAAAGCGCATGCTTGCTGGCTCCCCTGATTCGTTTTCCTGGGACTCGATAATACGAATTTCTTTGGAAACACCCTTTTATACGTCCCTAAAATTCGTGATTTAACGTGAAATTCTATGTTTTAACAAATTTGGAAATTTTCCGCCCACAGGCAATCCTAAACAATGCAATGCACATGTTCACTTGTTACAAAAGGATCTCTACTTTCAAAAGGGATTGGCCATAAACTTCAGAAATGCACCATTGTACGTGTTTATTGTCAGAAAACTGGTTTCGCATCTCGGCATCTGGTGGCCATCGGGCTTTTGCAGGCCTAAGTATTATTATACCCGTATTAGTTGGAGGCTGAAAAACGAGGGACATTCGCTTAATTTTGTACTTTCTACCTGCCAAGGGTGTTTTGGGGTAGGGTATGTTTGTTCAGTGTGCTGGTGGGATATCTGTGCGAACAAAAATTTACAACCACCAAAGCGTTCGGCATTGTTTACAGATGTGCAAAACAGATGCTAACAGGTCAATGCACCTTTTTTTTAGCTCAAGGATTTTTTGTCATCAAAATTAGAGATTGCATTTGACGTTTCAAAATAAAGGGGTGATTGAGTTCTGAAAATAATTTTCTTCGCCAAAATTGCATTTAAGTACATAAAATTTTCCACAATATTTTCATTTGATACATTAAATTACAACGAAAAGTTTTTTCAAAAAGAGATCAATTAAAAATGAGGTGCTCAACATGTTACAATTTGCGAATTTTCATAAAATGTTTGTTACATTGTCATATATATCTTGCGTTATCTTTTAAAATATACATTGGAAACAATAAATTGCTATCTGCAAACAGCACCGATAACAGCCTTAACAGACATATTTTGGACACAGTGTACATCAATGCCAAAAAATACTCTGAAATAATTTTGTACCCCTTTGAATATTGTTAAAATTTGAGATAGTTTGCAAACTTGACTTTGATGGATATAATTATAAAGTAATACAAATTGCCTGAATCACAGTGCTGCCATTAGTGCTTTTGTAAGCGCTATATTATTATAAGTTCGATAATTGAGACAAAATAATGTTTTCAATATTTTATATTTCGACAAATATATTGAACATAAAGCTTGTAGTATTATTTAGTATTTAACCTTTTGGCATTACGTTTAACATTCAGAGTACTATTTGGTTAACGAACTTATCACCACTCTATAAACATGTAACGATACTACGGAAATGTTCATTAAAGAAGTATCGGAAATGTTGCTGTTGAGTTTGAATTAGCTTACGTTCGGAAAGTAAAAACGTCTAAAATTCATATTAAATGACTGGTTTCTCCGGAAATGATTTTTTATTCTTTAACAGAATTCTGATATTCTTTTTGACTTTCACCAGAAATGCAGTTTATGCCACACCTATGGACGTTACAATCCAAATTTCTCTGTGTTCGTATCTTATCCTTCGGTAGTAAATATTTAAATAAATTTTAAAAAAGTTTTTATTTGATCTGAGATAGAATAACGATTCAATGCATAATTTTGCTCACATAAATATTCCTTCGTCCTTAAAGTATACTCCGACAAGTTCCTCTTTTTTTAAAAAATTATAACATTTGATTTTGCGATTTTCGTTTTGAGCTAATCTATAAAGTAACAACGAGTGGTGTAACTAACACCCCTACAGCCCATGCGCGGTTGCGGGGACAATATGAAAAATATTTTAAGCAGATAACCAGTGGGAAACATGTAGATATTCTTACTTTCTTAGTACATGCTTAACTTCGACTGTTTATGTTTATACTTCGAAAGAATACGACTATTAGCACATTCAGATTACAAGCATCAGCAGTTAAATGAAATTTAATTGATTCCGTCTTCTCAGCGTAGAGAGGACTGATTAATTAATTAACCACTATTTTTTTACCAAAAAACACTTATAAATTTGAAGAACATTAGGTAAAATTGTAAGACGGCGGACAAATTCTGATTAACGTTTTACGATACTTCCAATTACCATAAAATATTTACAAGAACTCACAGCATTCGGTTTTTGCAGTTCCAAAGTTAAATTGTAAAATACTGTTATTAAGTTTAGATTTTTTTCCCAAAAATTTGGATCCCAAGGGGCATAAACGAGATTTTTATTTATTTATCATGCTTAGAGTAACCTTAAAACACTTGAATATTTTCAGAACTTTCGGCTTTGCAATTTCAAAGTTTAATTGTAAAATGTTGCTATAAAGTTTAATTTTTTTTTCTAAAAAATTTGGATCCCAAGAATAAAAACTTAACGCGGATTCATAAATCACGCATGCAAAAGCATATTATTTTATAAAATTTAAAAAAACGAATAAACTTTGATTAACTCTTCCTATAACCTTAAAACGTTTGCAAGATTTCAGAGCATTCGGCTTTGCAATTTCAAAATTGAATTTTGACACAAAATTTCGAGTTTTTTCCCAAAAATCAGCATGTCTACGGTAAAAACTCAATACTGATTCTTAAATCACACATGCAGGAGTACGTAATTAAATAAAATTTAAGGAACATTTTATTCGGCAAAATTGTATAATGATCTCATCATTTTTTAGGGGGGGATAAACGAAAAAAAATTGATTTAAGGATTTATCATGCTTACGATTAACTTAAAACGCTTGAAAATCTTCAGAGCATCCGGTTTTGCAGTTGCAAAATTAAGTTGTAAAATGTTGTTATACAATTTTGATTTTTTTCCCCAAAAAATTTGTTTAGGGTAAAAAACACGGCATCGTAAACCAGATGTGCTGGAGCATCTTACTTTGTAAAATTTAAATATGATTAAGGGCCGGTTTATCAATGCGCAGTTAAGTTAAAGTAACTGGCAATTAAAGCTTGTCTGTGAGTTAACCTGTTTATCATTACCCGCTAGCTCAAAACTGGTGGTCAAAGTGCCTGATAAATTAACTGACAGTTCAAACTGTCAGTTAAAACGTTATCCACCAGTTAGTGGCAACATAACCTAACAAATCCAAATAAATCTGTTATGAATTTAACAATATTTTGATGAGGACTTATGTTGTGCAACAAACTGACAGAGAAAAGATGAGAAAAACACTCATTATTAGCTGATTATTTTCCAGGTTTAATGTGGGTACCAAAAATTAAAAACCTATCTAATAATACCGCGAGATCGAAAAAGAAATTAATCGAAGTAGGCCATGCACGACAAGCCGTTTGTCGTAATCACGGTGGTAGGGTAATTTAATTTTTTTATTAAATGTCAAATTGACAGTTTAGAGATTCGAATTATGACGCCTACTTTTAAAACACAAGAATGAATTAAAATCACCGTTTTCCAATTTTGTCTAAAATTTATCCCATTTCTGAAGATTCTAATAACAAAAAAGCTTTAATTTCGTTTGATAACAGTGCAAATTACTTTTGTCAACGTGACGATTAATCAAAAATTATTTTAAACTAAAACAAACGCCTTTTCGTGCATGGACAACTTTGACTAATTTATTTTTCGATCTCTCTGTATTTATTTATAGGTGTACCTACTTGTTTCATTTTTAATTTCCAATACTTTTTTTCTAATGCTAAATTTTGCTTTTTCATGATTGATCACGTGAAACGCGATATACAATCGTTGAATACCGAATACGGATCGAATCTGACGGAACTTTCAAGGTCGGGGTAGTTTTGAACTGACCAATCACAACTCATTTCCAGTGGGGTGCGCGTTACCAACTTAAGAGAGTAACAGCTAAACTTCGAGCTACGAAACTGGAAGAAACATCGTGCATTGATAAACACTTTACCTCCGTTAACTGCTAGTTACCCTTACCTGACAGTTACTTAACAGACACTTTTAACTGAGCATTGATAAACCGGCCCTTACTAATATAAATTTTGGTGATGACGTTATCCTATATGTTGGTCGAGATCATGGTAGAAGGAGACATGGTATAGGCATACGCATCGGGTGTGACGTCAAGTGGGGTGAAATTAGCGCGAAATTTAAAATACAGTTCGTTATCCGACAACTAATTGACGTATTGGACAGAGCACTGACAACTCAAGCTGAAATTCCCTAGACTTCCCTAGCGAAGCTCACAAGAGTCACAAGGTCGTTGATGCCACCTAACGTCACAAATGGATGCGCAGACCATTTTTAAATTGGTACATCGGATGCCTATACCATGTCTCCTTCTACCATGGTCGAGATGATCATCCCAATTTTGGTTAGCGTTACATCTATACGATATTCCTAATACACAAAATTTGACAATAATCGGTCCAGTAGTTTCGAAGAGTCTGTTTAATAAAAAGCCGGACAAACATCAGACCTATTAAACGTCGAGAAAATATAAAAGTAGCTAGTTGTCCAATGGACTCGTTTAAAATACTTCCTTAGCTTACGACGTAGTAGGGAACTAAAACCTTTGTGATTCCCCCGCCAAGGTTCAAATTTAACTAACCATTTTTTTCGATTGTTTCTTGACATAATAAACTAGTTTAAACTATTTATGTCTCTAGGTGTATAATACTGGGTGTGTGATTTTAAAACTAGTGCATTTATGTAAAAAAATCAAATAATAAGAATTCACAAAAAACAGTGGGTATATTTAAGAATATCACCAATTTCATCATACCAATTTCGTTTTTGATGAAAATAGGAACAACGTTAAATGAAGCCACCAATTTTTACCATTTCCTGAAAAAAATATGATACATTAAATTTCATACCAAATATTTCGAAAATGCGCGGTTTTTATTAAGTGAGAAACTAATTTCATAAATTTCCAGGTTAGAACAAACAGATACTAAACTCTTGTTTTTTCAAATTTCACAACTTCATACCGTGTAGAATTTTATAATGCTACTAGCTGACCCGGCAAACGTTGTTTTGCCATATAAATTATTTCTAGTGATTATTTTGGTAGTTAAATAAAAAATAAAATAAAATAAATAAATCATAATTAAATTAAATTATAAATTATAAGTACATAAAAATTTGCAACCCTATTGCGCATCTGTGGATGAAAGTAAAGATACTAATATAGTTATTAAAAAATGGGGGTTGGTGGTAGAACGGTGAAAATTTAAGGTTATATGTATTTTTTTAATGTCAAATCTTAAAAAAAAATAATAAAAAATTTTGTCCAAAAAATAAATAAAAAAATTTGGGTGGGCCACCCTTATTACTTAGGGGTATAAAAAATAGTTTACGACCTATTCTCAAGCCGTTTCGGAGGAGTTTAGTAATAAACACTGTGACACGAGAATTTTATATGTTAGAAGATAGTAACAGTCACGAGCTTCTCTCGCTCCAAATAGCTCACCACACTTTCTGTGTATATCGTCACAGATACACAATTAATTATTATTGTTCGTGCAGTTGCAGTTATATTTATTTTTATTATATTTGTTTTCAGTGCACGGAAGCGTCCTCACCAGTCCCAAAATGTCTTGCAACAGGAACACGACGTCCTCATGCTCTTCGACCTCCAATGATATGGACAGTCTCGTGTGCAATATCATCTCGGTCGCATTGCAAGACATGTGCGGGAACTGCGATGAAGGATCTACAGCCACATCCAGATGCACCGATTGCACGGAGCTTCTGTGCGGCCCTTGCGTCCGAGCCCACCAACGCGTACGATTAACCAAAGATCATCGAATTAGTGCGCTTCCAAGCAATATTGTTACGTCGCCTATAACAGTAGATTCGGAAATCAGTTCGCCAGAGGTACTTTACGCACAATTCCCACTAAACCAAATATTTACACCTTTTTTTGCAGGCAAATGTGAGTCCTTGTAGTATGACAAGCACACTCTGTGATACTCACAAATGGCCTGCAAGGCTGTTTTGTGGAACCTGTGTTGCATTAATCTGCAGCGACTGTATTCTAACCGATCATGCAAAACATGAAATTACGTACCTACAAGAAAAGCACACTCCGATTTCAGTGCATTCGAGATTAAATCTCGAAACAAAAAGTGCAATACATGCTGTTGAAGATGCAATGAAAAGAGTTAATTTTATGTCTACCAAGATTCATGAGAAACTGCAAAAGACGTCGTGTGAAGTTCAAACCGTTTTCAAAAGGTGAGGATTCAAAGGTTTTCAATGAAATATTTGCATGTCAAATATGTTTATTACCACACATTTCAACAAATTTTGTCAGGTTTGGCATCTTCAGGACACTTCAAAACTTGTTTATTGCACCAAATAAGATTTTGGGTCAGATTTAGAATTGTGTGATGCTTTCATTGCGATCTCGATTATAAAACTAAAATTTTTCCAGATTTTACTTTGTCTATAGCTTTAGGAAGAATTTTCGAAAGTACCAAAAAATGACACAGAAAAATGTTTTTCAAAAACTCCATTTCTTGGGTTACACGCTTTTGAAAGGCAAAGTTTATCTTCCAGAATACCAGTTTTTAGTGTTTAAATAACGGAAATGACACTTCAAAAAAATTAATTCATACTTGACACGTAAGTAACTAACAGAGAAGATTCTTATCTCGTAGAATTTAAAAATAGAGACAATAATTGATGCAATTGTTTTTATTAATAAGATGTGATAAAATTTAAAAAATATGCTACACTTTTCAGTTTCACTGATTCATTAGGTGATGAATTTTTGAGAAATCCTGTACAAGAAAGAAACATACAATTATTGATAAAACACAAGTGTAGATAAGCAATATTTTGTAGATACATTTTCAATAGCATTTATCTAGCAAAATTTTGAAATAGGAACTAATTATTTAAGCGGTTTTTTAACTATCCGGGCAGTTGCATTAGACAGTTAATAATTCATATGGGCAACATTTTTTTTTTGTGGTAATTAAACTGAATTATAAAATTTATCTAGTAGAAAAAACGGACTTGATTAGTCATACTTGGTGTCTGGAAAATGGAGGATTAACACTTCGCTACGCTCTTAACAATCAACTAGCGAGTCTGGGCAAAATAGTAAAAAATTCTTCTCACATTTTGGTGGAGTTACAATAATTTTAAAATTGGTTCCTGTGTTTTATTTTCGGATAAATTTAAAGGAATCTGGTGTTTTGTTGCTTTTATTGGTGTTTTATTTTTTACAAATTTGAAAGTCTTGAGTGTCGCAGTTTTTTTTTAATTAGGATTTTAATAGAATTGGGTATCCATTGTGTATTTGGGAGCCTATGGAGATTTTTTTGTAGATTATTTAAAACAATTTTGGGGGATCTTTGTGTTGGGATACGTCATTTGCTAAAATTAGTCTTAACAGGTACTAGCCCAACCCACCTGCCCTCTCTTTTCTTAGAGGGTATGTCATTTGCCAAAATCTGTCTTATTTTAGCAGGTACTAGCCCCATTCACCCTCTTTTCTCACAGGGTATCTCATTTGCCAAAATCAGTTTTATCTTAGCAGCTACTTGCCCCACCCACCCGCCCTCTTTTCTTCGAGGGTATCTCATTTGCCAAAATCAGTTTTATATTAGCAGCTACTAGCCCCGCCCACCCACCCTCTTTTTTCTTAGACGGTATATCATTCCCAAAATCTGTTTTATCTTGGCAAGTATTTTTTGTTTATAATTTATAAATGTCTTATTAAATGTTTTTTTTTTTGTTTATTTATTAATGAAAAATAACAGCTTGTTTTATTAATAATATTGCCCAACGATTAATGACTACTGGTTGTTATGGTTACTGTCCTAAAAAAAATAAAAGGTGGATTTCAGTCACCATCGTTACTGAGAAATCAGAAAGTAAGCCGGAGGTATAGTCTTTGCCATTTCTATTGAAACACCTGTTGATTTTGCCTAAAATTTAGCAATTGCTAACAGTTTTCGGTTTTTAGTTAGAAAATTGTCTGAATATGAGCGTTGCCAAATTTAGGATCAACAAGTGGTGTTTCAGTAGAAATGGCAAAGACTATATTCACGCATTAGGTGCGTGCAGTGTTGCCAATTTTATTTTTATAAAATTAAGTTTTTTTCCTAATCTACATCAAGATTTTTTAAATTATTTTTTGGGACTCTCGAAACCCCCGTACATAACGTATTGAAGAGTTAATCCATTTTCCAGATACCCGGTGTAATTCTATATCGCCAGTACAATAATTTAGTTAGTAGGTTTTAGATTATGTAAATTAGCGGCAAAATTATTACTTGAGCGGTAAAATGTTTGAATGGGCAGTTAGATAAATATTTGGACAGTTCTCAGCCCTCTGTAAAACTTATTTAAAGAAAAAATATTTTATCTCCATTATACAATAAGTTTTAACATTTTTTATTATTTCGATGGATATGTTTGCAATTAGTTTATTTTTATTCTAAACTATATTTCCATTTAAAAATTTAAAAATATTTTAGTACCAAAAGGTTTTCTGGTTCATAATATATTAAAATAATACAAGGTACTTCAGTCAGTCTAAATAAACCAATAAAATTTAAAATTGTCAAACATAATTACTCGAATTATATTAAACTTAAATAATAAATAATTATATGTATGAGAACTACTTAACCCAATGTTTCTATCCAACTGATTCTCATTTAGTAACTGCCTACGCGTGACTGCCCATTTATTCACTTTACTGCCCAATTATAAATAACTCTTCACCAATTCATTGAGCTACTCATTTCAAGATATTATGTTACTCCATGTCCCCTTTTTTTCTTGTTCATATTTTATCGGCCAATATGTTACTGAACATACGATTTGTATTTTCATTGCAATATATTACTGCCTCTTTAAATCGTAGCCTTCAAAAACTAGCATCATTTCAAAGATCCTAGTTTTTGAAGGGGATAAACAAATTTTGGTTAGCAACTCACCATAACTTTAAAACCTTTCCAAGATTTTAGAGCAGTCAGGTAAAACTGTTTTTTCAAAATATTTAGTTGTCTAAAGCAAAAAATAAGGGTGGATTAATAAACCACAAAAAATACAGGTGTTCTATTTGTAAAATTAAAATCTTGATATTGGAAAATAGTGATTTCGATATTAAACGGTTATAAAGTCTTCGAAGACTCTGATCAGAATAGAAATATATAGGCTGTCCCATTAAAAAAATAAGTCAAATGTTATGCCTCAAAAATTGAACAGATGAAAAGACTTTGGATTTTGACTTTTTTTTCTTCCTAATAATAATGATAATGATAATAATTAGATATGTAGGAGCGCCGTTTTGTATCCACTAGCTTGTAAAATTATATTATACCCATAGCAGGTAAAATCTGACGAGGACCTATTTTTAAAACTTCAAAAATATATTTGAAGAAGTATTATGTGTGTATTAAAAAAAAGATATGTTATTTTTATATATTATCTGTTAAGACGAGGCATTAGTAATTCTGTTTTTTCTTTGATTTTTTTACCGAAATAGCAATTAATAAATTATTCATAATTTACGAGTATTTAACCTTCGGAGATACGATGTCTACAAATTTATTCGAAACCGCAACCATTATTACTACTAACCATAGTCAAATTTAATAATGCAACCTTCAAATCTATTGGAAGGTATTGTTTACAAATTTATGATTGTTCCATGGATCGTAAGTCGTAACCATCATGAAAAAAATCACATAAGTTACAAAAAAGTCACTTGTATTTAACTGACATGAGTAGAACAAAAATTGGACACCTTTTAGTGAATTAAAACTTCTAGCGGCAATCTATTTTTTTATTTACAAATATGTAGTACCAAACTTACAAAAATAAAGTCAAGAAAAAAATGTGGAAAACTACAGGATCATATCTCATAGTTTTGCTTTCTACACATTTGAATATTTAACCATAATACTTGTATTAAATTCACATCTATTACTTTCAAACCAGCCATTTTTCTCCTTAGATACGTTATCGCAAAAATTTACAAATTCAATCATCTCCAGAACCTGTTTTCCTCAACAATATTTATAGTTCTTAAATAAGTATAACAGGAAATTACGTAAACCAATTTTTCAAAGACAGTATTGCATAATGTGACCTAAGAGAACATTTGTGTGTCATTTTTTACGACTGTAACTACCTATGTAAGAATTTTCACTTGTAACTTAATTATTAAACTAGTTCAGTGAATTGATGGCTGGTTTACGACGACGCGCTTCCTTGCAATGTTATTTAATAATATGGGAACTGTGGTAAATAAATAAAATTATGTCAAAGGGGTGTTACCTAATTAAGCAACTAATTAAAAGTTAACACTCTACGTCAACGTTTGTTATCCCACATTCCATAATTAATTTAATAACAACATGCAAAACACAAAATTGTGAGAAAAATCTTTTTAAGCAAGAAAAATATTTGTAAGAGAGTTACAAATCGCTTGTTTCCAAATATTAGAGAAAAAAATGCAGAGCTGCTAAGTTAGTATTTGTTGTATCATAATACCTACTTTTGTCAACTGTACCCTATAGAAAACAATACAATTTACCGACTTCTTTAACTTGAAACCCTGTAGTTACCGTAGTACAAACGGTAGAACTTTAAAAACCACAACTATATTTTTGCTTATTTGTCAATATTGTTCCAGATACATAAACGTTCTAGAACGGCGTGCTCAAGAACTCATGAAGAGAATCGACCAAATCCAGCGTTATAAAGCATTTCGTCTTCTTACTCAAATGGAACGTCTCCGCACAGCCCACAGTCGCCTAAAGTGTCTCTCAGAATTGCTAAGCAGTTCAATTGGTGGCACTTCCAACGAGAACGAATTCGTGGCAGTCAACGAAAAAGTTCACAACGAACTAAAAGTTCTTCGTTCAGTTCAATCTGAACTTTTTCCCTGCGAAACCGACAGCGTCTCATTCAGTGTCGAAGAGAACGGCCTTTTATCGATATTGAGTACTTTCGGTGAGCTGTCTTCAATGCCATGGCCTCCAGTAGCTTCAACCTCTCAAGCTTCAACACCCCCATTTGACATTTTCGACATGAACCAACACTGCCGTCCAGTATACGGTGTTTCAGATCAAATCGTCGTCACTCGGATAAATTACGGTCCACCTAAGATGTTCTCCAGAGAAGGCGTCCAAAACGGGGAACTGTGCCGCCCATGGGGGGTCTGCTGCAACAGTTTGGGGCACATCATCGTGGCAGATCGCAGCAATAATCGCATTCAAGTCTTCGACAGCACCGGCGTCTTCATGTACAAATTCGGCAGACAGGGAAATGGGATTGGAGAATTCGAGCGTCCCGCGGGAATTTGCGTCAGTCCTCTTAACCACATCGTCGTGGCTGATAAAGATAACCATCGTATTCAACTTTTCAAGATGGATGGGACTTTCGTTTTGACTTTTGGAGAGAAGGGGTCTCAGAATGGCCAGTTCAATTATCCTTGGGATGTCTCTTGTAACACTCACGGTGATATCGTGGTTTCGGATACCCGTAACCACCGCGTCCAACTTTTCACTTCAACCGGAGCCTTCGTCACTAAATTCGGCTTCGATAATAATCCGATGTGGAAGTATTTTGATTCTCCGCGTGGCGTTTGCTTCACCCCTTCCGGCAATATTATGATTACTGACTTTAACAACCACCGGATTTTAGTGATTGATAGAAATTTGACCCATCCACAGTTCCTAGGCGAGGAAGGTTCTAGACATAGACAATTTTTGAGACCACAAGGCATTGCTTGTGATGATCAAGGTAACATCATCGTCGCTGATTCAAAGAACCATCGCATTCAAGTGATGGACAGTTGCGGAAATTTCCTATTTCTTCTCGGGCGTCCTGGTAAGAAAGAGGGCGAATTTGATAGACCCAGTGGACTCTGTCTTGGTCCCACTGGAAAAATAATTGTCGTTGATTTTGGAAATACTCGTATTCAAGTTTTTTAATCTGTACAATAGGTTATGTAAAGTGACTTAAGTTTGTAACTACAAACGCAAACTTCTCAGGTATGTTATACACCTACCTCAAAAAGATCGTTTAGTGCGATTTTCATCTTAGTGTAAGTGTTGTCTAGCATCGAATCGTTTTTACCGTATAAACTGTAATTTGTACAGTAAAAACGACTTTGCTAAATTTATTTCATAGATGACTCAAAATGTCAACAGAATCTACAATGCTGTTTAATATTATAAATGCATATAAAGACAAAGAGTTGTCTTAGTTTTGTAGACAGATCTTAGTGTCATTTTTATTCGAAATGCGGTACTTCACGGTAATTCACAGCATTTGTAGGTTCAGGTGACATTTTGGATCATCTGCGAATAGATATTAATTTTATTAATTAATTATAAAATTAATTAAATTAATATCTGCTCACAATTATTCATGTCATCAGACTTGTCATGACTGAATTTCATATCAAGTCTGATGTGACATGAACAATTGTGAATAGATATTAATTGTAATAGTTAATATTATAATTATATAATTAATTAATAAAATTAATATTTAATATCTATTCACGGGTGATTCATGGTGTCATCTGCACCTAGGAACGCTGTAAATACTAGTAGCAGCAGATTTCGAATAAAAATACCACTAAGTAAGTCTGCAAAAACAAGACTTAACCACAGCTCTGGTCTTTATATAAAATTAAACGGCATTTGTAGATTCCAGTGACACTTTGAATCACTTGTGAATATACACATTATTTGAATTTGATACTGAATTTTGAAAGTACACATTATAACAATTGAGACTGACTTTTAAGACTGATTGTGAGTAGAGTTAGAATTTGCTTTAATTTTTTTCCTTTTACGTGTGCTCAACTCTAGATAATTATTCCGTTTTTTTAATTCTGTATACACTTCAACCTTTCTTCTTTCTTTCGAGATCCTGCGATAGGTAAGACAAAATGAGTGAAAGCTGAATGACATGGATGTAGCGTGAGCAGAGTTTGTATCATGCGGTCTCCATTAAAATAACTCATATTAAGTTAAAGAAGAAAAGAGTATTTTGCTAAGCAATGTTAAATAAAGGTACCTGGTGTTGTCCTGACGGGCAACAATTCATTAGTCTCGTTTTCTGTGTTAACTAAAGTGTGGCATAACATGCTTAATTTTAATTGTAAACAAATTGTTAAATAGTAAAAACATTCAAAGTACAAAAATCGAATGTTGACTTGAAGTGATTTTGTCGTACTTACTTTGAATGTGTTTAATATTAGCGAGCTATACCATCATAATTTGACGATAAAAAAGTTAAACTTTTCTATCGGAAAATTGTAAGTTCGCTAGTGTTTTTTAATTGTTAACTTCGTAAGTAAATCAAAAACCGGTCATTATAATTTTGAAAAATTTTTGTGTTACAAATTAGTAAATTTTAGACGAATTTGAAAATTCTAACAATTTTAGAATATTTTCCATACCCATGAATTAGTCAGTCAAAAATTGGCTACACACAAATCCTTAAATTAAGAATTTGTATATTAACTTTTGAGTGATTATAATTATAAACTTTGATTCATGTTAGTTGTTAAGGATAAAAATTAATAACATAACGATTAGTTGTTAAGAAAATGCTAATTATTTATGAATTTTCATGCGTTTTGTGTAAACCTCATGATATTTCATTTTTGATTAGGATATTTTATTTAGTTATATAAGGAATTCAGTTTATTATACAAATGATTGTGTGGAAGAGCATTTATACACACAATCATTTGCGTAATAAACTAATTTCCCGCAGCATTAGTTTTTAATTGTTTTATTAGAAGTTAGACATAGATTATTTGATTTTTATCATATTTCCTTGTGTTTTGTATTTTATTCATAATTTTGCAACATCAATAATATGGTTTTGAATACTGCTGATTGATTTTTGCTCTTGACAGGTAGTTCATTCGGCTTTATTTTTGTGTTGTGTTTGTTTTTGAATGTAGATACGTTTGTTGCAATAATTGTGCACGCGAGTAGGTTAACGATTTTCGTAGGGCTATTGCAAATTATGAGCATTACAACGGTGATTAGTCCATTACTCGCTATTTTTTTCTACTCGTTTTATTGTCGAGATATACTTACATAGTTTTTATACACCTTCTTATGTGGTGCAATTTCAAGTAATATACAGTTCCTATCAAAAGATTTATTTATTTTTGTCCTCTGACCTTTTCCAAAGTTTCCAATGAATAAAGAACCTGGTCACTGTCTGAAGCTACACCTGTGCGGTAGTCTGATCCAAATACCATTTCACTTCATGCCTCTGGCATCAGTAGGACTTGTTCTTATTTCACATTATTTACTTTTACTACCATATTTAATGAATGTGTGTTGCATAACAGAGCGTATATGATCATTTAAGAATATGCTAAGAGGGATGCTACGAATAGTGTCTTAAAATGCAACTAAATATCTGTTCATAATTGTGTGTTAACGTAAATCTGCACTATTGCAATTTGTGTAAGATCATTTAAAAAAGGATACGAAAGTAAAGGCGCTGGACAGTCCCCACCACATCGACATGCTTTCTTAAGAGAAGTTATTTAGGTACAAATTTCTCTGGTAAAGGTTTTGTTGTGATTTTGATCGGTGTGTGGTAGCTACCTAGGAAGAACAAATCATAATGACGTAAGTATTTCATTTTTATTTGTGCATTGTTACAGTCAATTGTATGAAACTGTTGACACCAAAATTTACAATTTTTTTAAAACTTTTTATGCAACAATTTTTTTAGTTAATATTAACATCCTGCATTAGATCGGAATTACTAAAATTTATAGATTTAACAGCAAGTAGAAACTCAGTTTATTGCAACTAGCTCTAAGCTCTCACAGACCTTTTCCCAGATAATTTCCGCTAATGACAAGATTTGTGTGTTACCTATTATGAAAGTGGTCGCATTCTAGCGGAGACAGGCAGTGTAATTTTTAAATCGTTAATAGACATTCACGTAATACCAATTATGTTGCATTTAATACAAAAAGACTGCAAGTTCTAAAATGAAAAATGTGATTTAGAAATCAACAGTGAATTTGTAATTATTACTCCTATTAACTTAAGCTATTTATACATTGGAAAAAACGTTTATTACATGACAATTTCATTGATTTGTTTTCTGCCACTTACTCCGAATTGTATGTAAATAATACATGTTTATAAAAGTAGCCTCAGAATTTAAGTTGCATTTTTTTTGTGTCAAAGTCATGCAGAGATTGCAAAGACGAAGTGTAGTTTAAAAGCAGTCATCAGAAAATAAAAATGTGTAACCACCGTTGACTGCAAAAATCATTAAAGTGTAAAACGGTAGTGGTTGTCGCAACAAAACAGCCATTTCAGCTTTTTTAAAACCTTCAGATTTTGTTACTACACATAAATTTCTTCCGTCTTTTATTGTTTAATTTAATTGACCTGAAGAGAAATTATCTGAATTATATAATGTGGTATTAAATTGTTATCAAATGATATTTAATTTCATAACAGGTGGTTATGTTTTTGTGTGCACGTTTTAATCACTCAACTGTATCGCGAATTTAAAGCTCAAAAAAGATGGCCCACTAACAAGATTTTGACCTAGACCTTTACCTCACAACATGTAAAACTACTAATAAGAATTTCAAATATATTTTTTCAAGTTTCGTGGTCAATGATCATGAAAGAGAAAGTTTACCACGATTAAAAAAATGTAGGTTTTCAATTAAGATTTTTGCTAATTTGGCTTGGTGGTAGTACGACGTCGACGCATTAAAAAAGTGAAAAAGAATTTTTCATTAATCTAAAAGCGATGTTTATTGGCGACATAAACGACGAACGTGCTTCAGTATGTGTAAAAAAAGTTAATGAATCTTTCTTTTAATCTTTTACGCTTAAAATTGATTTAAACAATGGTCATAAACACTTTCTCCTACAAATCTATGCTTTCCAAAATTGAGTATTTGCATGTGAAGCCTACGCTGTTGGTTTGTTATAATTTTATAAGTAGATAAGTCTATTGTTCGACAGTTAATGATGCAGTCACAATTTAATAACATGTAAAATTTAAAGAAAGTGTTGTCACCTTTAAAGCAGACAATTTTGTAACAATGGGTGTGGATTCCGGACTCCAGAGAGAGTGGTCCACATAATACTCATGAATGAAAATTCATGATAATAAATTAGTGACTGTAGATTGTTACATAACTCTTAAATCATTAAAAATTCCATAAATATAGAGAAGGGAACATCTCGTACAACAAATATCATTTCTTAATTATTAACTGAGGGTCTACATAAACATAACGGGGACGTCAGTTTTTATTTTTACTTCTCGAGCGGTAGCTAAGGAAGTACTGTAACAGGTTAATCTTAACGAATGCTTAATTAATTTCATGTATTCTCGATATTTAGCAACTTTTATAGAAATGTCGATCTCTCTTTTCCTTCTCACTGACGTGTTGTTGGTCATTTTATTAGACAGATCACTCCCAAAGCTATGAATTGATTACTGGGTAAAAGGCTAATTAAAATTATTCTGTTCATCGTCATCTGTACTTCAGAGGCGAGGTAAATTCTGTTTAAAGAATTTCAACCCAATTTTTCTGAACTGTGCAAACTCAGGTATTTTAGGAGTGCTCTTTTATCTAGTGAAATGATTGACTGAATGTTCATATACAAACATTCTTAATATTTCAAAATACATATTTTTCATCTATTAGAAAACAATAAAAATGCACTTTTATAACTGAAAAAAGAACTAACTGAAATAGAGTGCAATGCAATTAATTTTTTGCCCGTTGTTTAACCGCAAAAATATAGCTATACTTAATTTTGCAATAAATAATAATTAAATTATTTAAGACTGTTCACTAGCATCCACTTTCTACAAAAGTAGAATGTAGGTAGACAAGCTAAACGTAAAAAGCAAGGATTTCATTGTAGAGGAAAATCATCAAGTTCAAATGTCAAACCCGTGTGATTGTAAAAACCTAACTGCATTCTCCAGATGGTACAAAACGATCCAAGACACTACATATGTTTATTGTAAATTAATTATTCAACAAAATCTACACTTCTTTATTTAATCATGAAATGAATAATTAAGAAATATTTTAATTGCACATTTTTAGCAAATACAATACACTTTTTGAGTTATTTTTCCAGTGCGGTGTTACATATTGAATGTGTATGTGATATTTTACGTTTTTGTATAAGGGTTATCTTTGAAAAATGAATTAAAATTTATTTAGTCCCCTGGAAAGCTAATGTCGCCATTACAAAAAAGTAAACACGCCTTTAGATGGGAGATACTTACATAAAAGTTCTTTACTTGATAAATATGATTGGAAAAAAATCAGCGAACCGATTTATTTTACCGACTGTTATGTCAGCAAAAGCTTATACAATTTCTATAAGATTCTGAGAAACGTTGCAATTGGTTTATTTGTTTTACAATAGGTGAAGGTCTCCCCGGGTAAGCGAATTTACTGCAGCCTACTATGATGGATTTGTAAAAATAACCACACTATATTTTTTGCCGAACTTTATTCAGTCCATCATGGAGCAGATCAGAGCATAAGTAATAAATTTTGGTTAACATATAAACCGATTTATTTTATGAATTAGTTCAAAAATAACAAATTTTCGGAAAACTACCTTACAATTTTTTTTAATAAATCATAAAATTTGATGGAATTTTATTTTTTAATGATACCCGTCTACAAGTTCACATAAAAATAGAGTAGATTATGAAACTATAGGTAAATAAAGAGTATAAAAGGGCACAGGTCATTTTTTATTTGGTTACTTTGCAAAATTTTTAGATGATATCAAGATGATGTCAGACAATTTTGAATTCTTTACCAAAAACCCTAAGGCTAAGTTAATATACCATAGGTAAATGAGCACAGTATTTTACACCCTTTAAATAAATAAAATTTACTAAATAAGTTTTGAGATAACGTTATCACGTTTTTGGTGAACATTTTCTCTATTCCATATTCTAAAAAAAACCTAAGAGTTTACAGCAATGTCTACAAAATATGTTTAAAATACATCTAAAATTCCAAAACAAAATATGTATAGTTTCGGAGATTGCTTACTTGCTGCCAACGGACGACAGATAGACGGAAACGGGAGCCCTATTTTTAATATTGTAGGAGCTACGAAACGTCTCGAGAAGTAAAAAACTTATTTTATACATAAATCACCAAGAGCCACAAAACGGATGGATTAACATTAATGAAGTTATAAATACTAATTCACAGGAATCCAAAGTTTATTTAAAGTCTTAACAAAAAAATTAAATGTTGATATATTTTAAGGTTTAGTATACGTACTTAAATTAGTGACTACGTAGAAGTCAACTAAGATTTGAATTTCTATTCACCTTTTACGTCCTTATGGCGCGACTACTTTGATATTTATTAGATATCTAGCACTTCCAGTGCAAAATAACAAGAGTAAAAGTTGTGTCGAACCCAAAAGAAAAATAATTGTGGAAAAACTTTTTAAGGTAAAATATCCTGCATTTTTTGAACACTTATATAGAAATAAGTGTAGATACAGACAGCTATCTTTCCAGTGAAAGCCATCATGAATAAAATCGGCACCACATCTGTACCACTTTACTGATTTACCTCTATACACCAACACTAATAGTTGCCGGAATAACTTTCACTAAAATATTGCATTTTAAGTTATTTTTTAGATTTAACTTAATACGCTTATTACCTTACCCAATTTTCTAAGTTTATACAAATCGACAGAAATTTCTCTTTAATTCGTCTCACTACAGTATTGTACAACAAATTTAAATCCTTACAATAAAATTACTAAAGTACATAGAAACACGCAACAATCTGTTTATAGTCAGTTAAAAATTATATAAAAATGTAGAATTAGTTCGAGTGCTAAGTGCATTTAAAACAAAGTCATTATTTTTCATACTCCAGTTAGCAATGAATACAAACACCACAATTAACACGGTCTAGGCAATCTTTAATGATAATCAGATCCGCAATAAACATAATCCACTGCATAACAGAGTACTGCTAAAGTGCATCCACGCAGTAGCAAACAATGTTGAAGTATCCACCCGAATAATTTTTATCACACGCTCTATTTGTTTCAGGAATTTCTATTTAACGGCAAGCTTGTTATTAACAGTCGTACAATTTATTCATGGTCTGCCGAGAACTCCAGTCACAGAATTACCAAATTATCCCAGATATACGGAATCAGCTAAATCCCACCGGAGTTTTACCCCCAAGGCACCTTCACCATTTACGTCAGCAGTAGAGTACAATGATGCCACTGCCGCGGCAACACAGCGTGGCCCAAATTACATTCAAAATCCCTATCTTTATCAAAATGTAATTCCTATTAAACAAAAAGTTCAACAAGTGGGAAGGCCTGGGAAAACCGGACCACAACAATTTGCAAACCCAGAGGAGCCCCTTACTGAGGTAAAATTTAACTCGAAAAAAATCGTCTTGTAAAAGTAAAAGTAACGAATTGTAGAAAGAACGCAAAGAACTCGAAGAAGAAGAAGAAATTGAAGAACCTGATCGTCTGAGTGTTTTGCTGCCGCAATCCAAGTTTAATTGCGCAAGTAAAAACACAGGGTATTATGCGGATGAAGAATTAGGTTGCGAGGTGTTCCATTACTGTCAAGATAATGCCAAACATTCTTGGATTTGTCCTGAAGGGTTTACTTTCCATCAGGTAAAAGCAGATACAGAAAAATATTTTTGTTTTGACTGCTATTATTTTTGCTGATAAGGTCCATCTAATTTGTATGCCTCCTGGTGGTGATAACATCTGTGAAAAATCTTCACAGTTTCATTTTGTTAACGAATATCTCTACAAACCAGTTAATTTGGAAGAATATCAACAAAAACCCAATATCTCGTTACGTTATTCTGAAAGATTTTACCCCGAAAACTACTACGACGAAGGAGAAAATGAACAAGACGATCGTCAAACAGTTCAACATAGGAATTCAGTACGAACCTTTTTAAATGTGTTTTCAGTCTTTTATACTGATATTTTTAGGTGCGGGTTCAACAAAACACACCTGAATCGGTAACCAGAGCTACATTCAGACCAGAAACTTCTCTTGGTCAAGTATTTAGGACTCCTAATGAAGTTAACATACCACTTCAGCAGAGAAGACCGCAGTATGGGACGCAAAGATTTTTCACCAAAAAATAATATGTAGTAACTTTGTTGAATATTTATCAAAAATGATACAAGACTATCGTAAGCCTGAATTAACTTAGTTATAAATTAATAGTGCGATTAGAAGATGTAATAAATGTTTGTTTTTTTCAATAAAAAATATTTTTACAAAATAATATCTCTGATCTAGTTATTTTCACATGTGGCAAGCAGAGAATTGGCCTCGTTTCACTATTACTAGCACCAGCTGGATTATTATCTCGGTAATTTACGTCAGTGCATGTGCATGCAGTTCTCTCATAAATTATGAAATAAATTCCATAAAATTACACACATAAACATCTGAGAAAAAATGGTATTCACCTATTCACCTATTCTCGTTGCGCTTGCAAAAGTTGTGACGTCACTATTTTTTTTAGGAGGGTTATTAAGCTCTATTAAGAATTAACAAAACCTAATTTAGATTACTATATCGCATTAACAAAATATATAGTATTTTGGTAAATAAGGTACAACAGAAGTAAAAAAGCTCGAGAATTACTTATTATTGTTTAGTAATGTTGAAAAAAAAAGATCAAACAAAGTTTTTATAGCAGAAAAAAAATCCTGCATCAAAATAATTTTGTAATTCATGTTAAACTTTAGACCAATATTTTGCACAACTTAATTATTGTGACTGCAAAAAATAATACTATACCGACATAAATTGCTCCTTCCTCTTTCAAAATCATCAAAAACCCTCGGGAAATAATGTGTAATAAAGCAGCAATTAGTTTTTTCCGCAAGCGCTGAAAGTTGCTGTTTTACCATTTATTCTTATTAAATTAGTTGTCGTCATTTCTTCCCGATTTTAGCGATCAGCCTTAAGTGACGCTCAAATCCTGCATCGTTTCACTTAATTTTGCTTATACAAAATATTATTGTTCGCTTTTAAAACTTCTGAAATCAGAAATAAAGCTTTAAGTACATAAATATTTGGTTTAACAAATAAAAAAAAAGTCGACTTCCCTCGCCCTTGAAGTATAATCGGACAAATCCAGCTCTTTAAAAAATATATAAAATTTGATTTTACGATTTTCGTTTTGTGATAACCTCTGTAAAGTAAAAATCAGTGGCGTAAATAATTCCCCGCAACCCCTGCGCCTTGGAATAATGTAATAGTTATTTATGTATTAAGGGCATAATCAGGGAGATTGTGGCACGAGGGAATGTTTAAAGCCCGACGAAGGAGGGCTTTTAATTTCCTGAGTGCCACAATCGACAATTATGCACGTGGTACATACAACGTTTTATTCTATTTTAGTTTATAAACTATTTTTAACGAAATATTGAGTATTTTCGGCAAGACTGTGTGAATTGTGCCGATGCGAATTTTAATACATAGCTGGCTATTATTTTGATGTTGTTATGGATACCACGTTGATTATTTGATAATTCGTTTTTCAAAATGTAAATTAAAGAAGCGGAAAACGTTTATTCAAACGAAAGTTTAGAAGAATTTGAAGTCGGTCAGGTAATGATTTGATAAAATATTGTTTTTCCAACTTAAGAAAAACGTTGAATATCGAAGCGTGTTTGAATAATTAATTGATTAGAGTAAATGAACAATCAATTGTTGCTTAGCAATTTTTGACAGATTTGTGCTAAAAAGGCCAATTTAAGCCCGCATTTGGGTGCTTATAAATAAGATTATGGTTCTAAAATAGAATAAAGACACGTATATCAACTTGGGTTGGTGCAATGCTAAAAATAACAGCATTATATTCCCAAAATTTTATGGGAAAATGGAGTGAGCTCTTCTTGATTTATAAATTAATAAAATCAATTGACTGATTCATTAGTTTTTTTGAGTCACTCTATATAAGAAAATCTAAGAGATACGAATGCATTTATAAATTACAAGTATAGACTGATCATATTTTGCACATTTTAGATAGGATTTATTCGGCAAAATTTTGAGATGACTTCATCAATTTTTGGGGTTGATAAACAGATATATTTTGATTAAAAAGTCACTATGCTTACAATAACTTCAAAACGTCTACAAGATTTCAGAGTATTCAGTTTTCCAATTCTTGATTTAATCAATAAAACAAATTGACTTCGTCATTAATTTTTTTGAGACACCTGTATAAGCAAATCTAAAAAATATTAAAGCAATGATGAATCACAAGTATAAACTCATTATATTTTGCACATTTAAGATAGGATTTATTTAGCAATATTTTGAGGTGACGTCACCAATTTTTTAGGGGGGAAGAGTAAATACATTTTGATCAAAAATTATCCATAGTTATGATAACTTTAAAACACTCCAAGATTTCAAAGCATTCCTGATCTGCTGGGATTATTATGCCTGGTTCCTCCCCACAAAGAGAAGATTAATAACCCAGTAGAGAGTTAAAATCTAAAACGAGTTTAGCACAGAACTTGTTAAAAAATCAGGTAACCATAATATACATAAGCTCTTCATCATTTTAAGGGTGAGCTAAAGCATATTCCAGCATAGGGAAATACATATAAACTTCTGCCCAAGTTTTTGCCAAAAGTATACGTCCCATTGTAATAAACTTCACACCATTGAAATGAGCGTAAAAAACCCTGCCCAGACTGCTTTTCCGTTTTTTAAATTTTGTTTAGCTTTCGCTATTTATGGATCAATTTTAAATTTTGAAAAGGTACATTAGTAGAAATTGTATTAAAAAATCCATTGCGCTTTAGAGAAATAAAATATCTTAATAAATAATTGAGTAAATAGGGGCAGAATATTTAAAATTTGTGGTCAAACAAACTTTAGCCATTTTTCTGGTCCAGTCAAATCTATAACAGGTAACCGATAATAATATACCGACAATGAAATTTTATGAGAATGTCCACTCTCTAAGGTGTTCTAAATTTAATCTGTAAGTCACAACGCCAAGTAAGAGGCAATTAAAGACAGATTTTTAAGTTTACATTATCTTGTAGCCCCCTTCTAAGTATTAGGGAGCACCCTTTTTATTAAAAATTAAAAGATTTGCGTCCGCAGGTATCCGTGGACTAATATTTACGATACATTTACACGTAGCCAATAAAATATTTTGAAATCTCCGACCAATGCAAATTTTTGTTTAAAAGTTGTTGCAGTTGGCATCGAACTTTTATTTGTAACTAGAGTGGAATGAAATTAAGCGCAAAATAATTGGCTCTTCAGTTTTTGATAAAATATGTAACATGTTGCCCCACAACAATTCTACCTAGCGCCGCAGTGGAAAGGATGTTTAGTTTTTAAGACAAAACCTCATACTTTAGCTGACAAAAATTTTGTATATCAGTTTTTATTGAAGTTAAATTATGAATAGAGTCCTCTGAGTGAAGTATTTCTTTGTTTTATTTTATTTACTGATGTGAATATATAACAAATGCGTTAGTAAAATAAATCACTGACTGCCTTTTCCATTCTAACATGTTTTTTTTGACCCTTTGAACCCATACAACAAATATCTAAAATTGTGTAATTGTAATGCATTACTTTTTAAAAGTAAGTGTTCAGTAAATCATAGACCCAAAATTTGTAGATTAATTATTTTTAAATATAAAGTACTTGATTTTTGATTTTACCTCGATAGGATTTAAATAACGTCATCAAGTTTTCAATTTCTACTAAAAATACAGGATTGCCAACAGAGTCAATCAATTCAAATCATGCGGTACTTCCGGAGATTATCAGTCTAATGAAATTGGAAAAACGGCGACCTACTTTTTCATACTCTATTCTCTACTAAAGATGATGAAACGTTAAAAACATGGCAATTTACGATATTAAAAAAGTACAAATGTTCATTGTGAATTAAAAGCAACTTGGCAAAAATTGAAAATCGAAATACATTTCTAAAAAAACATTTCTTCGGCGCCGTGAGATTTCGAGTCGAACAAACTAGAGATGGGAACTATCGTTACTTTGGTGTACTCGTACGTATTCGTTACTTTTTAAAAAATTAATCGTTATTTATAATCGTTACTTCGGGTATTGATTACTCAGTGAAACTCGCTTTGGTATGGTTTTATTGCGGTATGAAAATATCTAATAATTTCTAGAATACAAAAAATATATTTAAATCGTAAAAAAATACAAAAATAAATCAAATATTACATAGAATAAAAAAAAAACAAAAACAAAAATACTTACTTTATCAATCTATTATTATTTAGTAACTTTAGTTACTTCATTAAATTTTTGTTAGAGAGTAATCCAACGTTTGGCCCGAAGGCCCGAAGTAACAAAAGGCCATATTATTTTTAACATATTGCTTTTTCTATATTCAACATTCAACTCAAGTTGAAAGCGAAGTGTTAGTAAATAAAAGTAAGGGTATTTGATTTATAGGTATCATTTTAGGAGGTCGGTAATTTTCGGTATTTCGGCAATCGGTTCTTGATTCCTCAGTATTTGAATCCAGAATGCATACTCGAAATCACGAAATGGTCAGTAATCATTGACGAATAGTAACGATTACTTTTCAACTTCGATACTCGGTAGTTCGGGTCTCATCGTGTACCGAATACTTTGTAACGAATAGTTACTATCCGTCCCACCTCTAGAACAAACTACGACCGGATGGAAATGTCAGTTGTCAAAATAAAAATCAAAATATAACCTAAAAATTTGTTGTATAAATTGAGTGCACTAGGAAATAGGAATTGTTAAAAACAATGCAATGTTTGCATGTAAATATAAGACAAGCAACATTCATAGTTCTGTCCATAATAATTAATAACATCAACATTATTCAAATGGGTTGGTACTTCCATAGCTCACTACCCTACTGACATTTCATTTAAATTGTTAACATTTCAGCTGATAAACCCGAAAAAGATGTTAATAGTAGTAACGAGGGAACGCGCACTTCAACTGCTCTTCCAGCTTTTGTAACAGTTGTATGACAAATACTAAAATTGTATTAATTAAAACACACATTCTTCTAGGAAATTGATGAAAGGTGTCGGGCAGATGATGTAAAGTGTAAAGACTTACATCCACAATGTTTGAAATGTGATTTTAATATGTCGTGCATCTATGGTGAACTAATAACTACAAAATGTGAAACGATAGACCCCAAAATAAATTGTTCAGGTGATAAAACTTTTACAAAAACGTTGATTTGTCGTTATTGCTATCAAACTGAACCATGGGAACATACATGTTTCTTGAGGGCGGACTGCAACTCAGTCGCTTCTCCGAGGGTATATTATCCAACGAATTGTACAGTTAGAGATGATTTACTCTGTTTAGGTAAGGATTTTTCTAAATGTAACTGTTTGTCTAAGGTTTAAAATTTAAGGTAATCGAACATTTACCAAAAACGTGATGTGCAATTGGACTGGTGGTTACCGCTGGACGACTGCTTTAATTTTAAGTATCACATTAGGAGGCTTTGGAGCTGATAGGTTTTATCTAGGTCATTGGCAAGAGGGAATAGGAAAGTTGTTTAGTTTTGGAGGATTAGGCGTTTGGACAATCATTGATGTTATTCTCATTTCACTGCACTATTTAGGACCTGCAGATGGGTCTCTTTACATTTAGGCGAATTCTCTTTATTTTACAAATACGTTTTATAATAATAACACTGTTACTTAAAGTTACATTTTTATTATTTATTACAATGGACTAAATAGTGGTAACTTTCATGCAATATGCAGATATATGAAAATATACACAGCATGTGTACAAACATTCCATGGACTAGCTGTAATATAATACAAATAGCTTAAATAGGTAAAAAAATACTGCCAATAGTAGGAACACAATCGAGCACATTTAACAAATTAATTTTATTTCATCCAGTAAATATTCATTTAAATCTGCGTCGGTCATTTCTTCCATTTCTTTTTGCGATACCTAAAAATTTAATTGATTGCATACTTATTTTCAAAACGTAGAAAAAAAATACCACTAAAACTCCTTCTTCTGAACGATCTAACAGTCTTAATTTCAGGGCCATTAACCCCACAGGTACATCTTCTTCAATGTTTTTTATTCGAGTATAATCATCTAACACCTCTACATGTACAGCTTTGCTTAATTCATTTTTATACCCCGTAATTCCAACAATATTTAAATATGGAATGTCCTGACTTAATTCGAATTTACTTAAATCTAATTTGCTTCGTATCCCTTGTAAATTATTCAACAGTCTTTGCATAAGCGGCCTCTTGTGCAGTTGATATGTTGAAAAGTTATTAGGATTTTCAACTGGTTTTCTTCTTAATGTTTTCCATAAGTCTGGGTTTTCACTATGGATTGCGTGCAACAAGAGATTCAGTCTTAAATTCGTTTTGGGATTAGCAGCTGTAAATCAACGTTTTCATTACGATTCTCCAAAAAATCTAACAAATACTCACTTAGTAGATGCCATTTGTTATTATTAAATATATAAGGCACAAGTTCATTGGCGTGATAATTGAGAATCCATAGATATAAAGTTATATCCACTAGCGAATCTACATCTCCTACAAGTTCGCCAACTCTTATGCGTTCCATTATTTTTGGCATTATCACATTTTTTATATCACCATGATTAATGAGTTTCATTTCACTAAACATGCTCATTATCCATAAAAATCTTTTAATATCCTTTGCTCTCAGTTGTTCGGTAGGATGTATCTCTTTTGAAATGAAACGGCTTTCACTGAGCTGCTCTAGGCATTTATTCGTCAAAAATTTAAAAAGTTTCTCATCGTAAAAAAAGTAATCAGCAAACAGAGCCATGATATGGCAAATCATTGTAAATGAATAGAATGTAAAAGTTTTATTAAAAAACATAGCGTAAGATATAGTATTGAGCAAATCATCATTTTGGTATCTGTTGTGTCTCAGTGTTTTAAGTAAAGTAACAAACAAAGCTGGATCATCTAGCACTGCTAAATTATTACTGATGTAGCTCCTAAGTTTTTCTAGCAGATTTTTGTTTATTATTTTTGTGCTTGTTTTAAACGTCGCGTTGCAAATTATGCACAACTCCTCACAACTCAAATTTTCTATAAATTTATGATCCATAGACCTTATGCACTGTCGGAGCATTGTTTGTGTTTCTAAATTTTTCTTTTTCAAGCCTATATAAAACATTAGTTGCAATAAATCTTTCTTGTTCAGACTAGACAATGAATCAAATAAAATTTTTATGGAGTATTTATAAAACTTAAAATCCGTCATACGATGTGGAATAATACTCATGTAAATATTTAATAATCTTAAAATATCTGTAGAACTTAAATCAGATAGCCTTACGCAACATTCAGTATCTAATTCCTTTAATACTAATAGTAGTTCGTTTCGAGTAAGATTGTGATTAGTCAAGTTGTTGGCAAATATTAGAAGCTCATTAGTTCTTAATTTATGCATCTGGTTTTGATTTTGCAGAACGGTCTTTAGTGTTTCTGATGTATACTTAGGAATATCCAATTGCTGGTCCTTCTCGGGGTTTAAATATAGCAAAATTCTACCTGTAAGGGTCTCCTGATTTGGTATGGTCACTTGTTGCTGAGTCAGTGCTCCTGCGAAATTTCTTAACTGACTCCTGCTGACTTGAAAAACAGTGCTTGAAATCAGTGACAGAGTTTTTGTTATTGCACGCATTTTAGAAGCACTTAACATAATTAGAAAATTTATAAAAATGTGTAGGTTAGAACCATTTTAACAGCTGCCAATTGACATTATTAACACATGACAGGGAGTTCAATTGCCTTTTGACGTTTGTGTATTGTTGATTGCATACATTCCAGTAAATTCCTAGGTTTTACAAATTCTTAAAATAGAAAAACACTTGTAAATTGTAAATCACAAATTAAACAACTGTGATAATGATATTCTACTACATTAAATGACAGATAAAGCACTACTATAAAATGCGATAAGGTGTTAGAAATACTTTATTTTAAAATAATACAACATGGCAGCAGGTAACATAATTGTAACTGGATTTGGTCCTTTTGGTGAGCATCGAATTAATGCTAGCTGGGAATGCGTAAAGCAGCTACCACAAGAAATAGATGGTTATAATGTAATAAAAGAAGAAATACCTGTGTCATATGATACAATTGATAAGAAAATTCAAGCATTGTGGAAAGAATTTAATCCAGAGGTAATAAGTATACATACTTAATAAACATTATTTACATTTAAAATTGTTTTATAGTTGGTTGTACATGTTGGCGTTTCAAGTATAGCAAACAAAATTACCTTAGAAACTTGTGCATATAAGGAAGGGTATAATAGGAGGGATGTTCATGGAAATTACCCTAAAAATGGAACTCAGTGTTCAGCAGATTGTTGTGAAAACTGTATTCAAGTAGGAGTTAATGTTAATGATATTTCTAATCACTTGAATGCTACTAAATCAGTCAAAGCATGTGTATCTGTTGATGCTGGAAGGTAAAATTAATAATTATAGATCTGTTTAATATTTATGTATCTATTTTAGGTATCTTTGTGAATATGTATTATTTACGTCATTGAGTGTGGATAAGGATAAAGCAATGTTCATCCACGTACCTCCACTGGGAAAACCTTATACAGAACAAGAACTTGCAGATGGTGTTTTAGAAGTTATTCGATGCGCTTTGAGGCAGCGAAAACAAAAATAATATAACGTCTTTAAATGTATTTTTATTGTAATAATACTCACATATTAACTATTGCAGCAATATACAAATCTTTAGTACCTAACAAAAATGAAATTATGATTTTAAAAAATCCGCCCACTAGGAATTTAGGGATAAATAGTGATGAATCACTAAATTTATTGAAAACTAAAAGTCCCTAGAAATCGCGCCAAAATAAACTGTCAACAGGTAGAACACAGGGCACAGGTGGTCTTTCGGTTGTAAGACATTTATTCGCTAAAAGTTGACGTGCTTCAAGTATAGTGTGTGACTCAGGTGTGAATAAACGTTGACGAAATGTCTGCAAGAAAATCTCAGCGGTTGTTACAAGCACGGAATAATACTCCAAGTCCAGCAACAGCACGCCAGACCAATACTTACACTTCACGTTTAAGAAATTCTGTTAAACGTAATTTAAATAGTTCCTTTGGAGCAATCGAGGAAGAAGACTCCATTTCCCCTCGAAAACAACAAAGAAATCATGATAGTATTACAAATAAGACTGACGAAACACCCACAGACCTTACTTTAGTAATTAACAAAAAGTCTCTCACTTGTCGTCGCAAGTGTTATTATTACGAAACTATTTCTGACTCTGACGATGATTCACCTAAAAAAGAAGAACTGTTAGTAACAGGTAAACGGAAAATTAAGACTCCCTTAAAATATTCTGAAGATATGTATGTATCTCCTTGCAAGTCATTAAAGGTAGTTATTAATAAGTTAGAACAAACTCCTGTTAAAAACAAACTGCTGGAGAAAGACACTTTGTATGAAATTAGGACTCCAAAGACACCAAAAACTCCAAAAAACGTGGTTGCAAAGTCAACACCAAGAAGTACTATCAAATTAATTAGGGAAGGTGTTATAACTCCTAAAGTTCAATCAAGGAGTAAGGCTATTGATTCAGAAAATACGCCATTGAAACAAGCTAGAAGCCAACTACATGTTTCGTATGTGCCTTTAAATTTACCATGCAGGGAAAAAGAACATGAAGATATTTTCAAATTTCTAGAGGGAAAGCTTTTAGATAAATGTGGCGGGTAATATTTAGATTATACAATACTGTTGAGGTATTCATTAATTCATTTTAGCTGTATGTACATTTCTGGAGTACCTGGGACAGGCAAAACAGCTACTGTTACAAGTGTTATTAATAATTTAATAGCTTCCGCTAAAACAAGACATGTTCCAGAATTTCAATATGTAAATATTAATGGAATGAAATTGACTGAGCCTAGACAAGCCTATGTTGAAGTATGTGCTTACAATTCTTTTTGTGTTTATATATTACATTACCCTTTTTTTTTAGATTTTAAAGCAACTAACTGGTAAAACAGTGGTATGGGAACAAGCGCATGATATTTTGGAAGAAAAATTCACAAAAAAATCAAAGAAAATGAAGCTTCCTATAATTTTATTAGTAGATGAAGTAAGTTTAAATTTGAAAATGACAGTTTTAAGTTAACTGGTTCTTTCAGTTGGATATTATATGTACAAAAAGACAAGATGTTGTGTACAACATCCTTGACTGGCCTACAAAATCTAGTACACAATTAATTGTGATAACCATTGCTAATACAATGGACTTACCAGAAAGGTAACCATTTCATAATATACAACTTTTTTTTATTTATAAATAAATTTTTAGACTGCTGATGAATCGAGTGACAAGCCGATTAGGACTGACAAGACTTACTTTCCAAGCTTACACCCACAAACAACTTCAAGAAATAGTAACAAAACGTCTTGTTGGTACAAACAGTTTTAACCCTGATGCTGTCCAGCTAGTTGCTAGAAAAGTTGCATCGGTTTCTGGTGATGCTAGAAGAGCACTGGACATTTGTAGAAGAGCAGCTGAAATTGCTGAATCTGAAGGAGATTATACTCTGGTGGCAATGTCTCATGTGAATGAAGCATTAAAAGCAATGATCACCCAGCCTAAAGTTAAGGCTATTAAAACCTGTTCCGTTTTAGAGCAGTATGTACTCCAAGCTGTGATTTCTGAGGTGAGGTACTTGCTTTAAAATTGTATGGTGTTCTAAGTCTTTTTTGCAGGTGGGAAGAACCGGGGTTGAAGAAACTGTTTTTTCTGATGTGTACAAAATGTTAGTGTCTATTTGTGCTTTAAATGGATTTACCACGGTATCATGTACAGTTGCTTTGAGGGCTGTGGCAAGGTTAGGTGCTTGCAGACTCTTACTTGTTGATCAAAAGTGTCATGATATTGATCAAAGAATTATCTTAAATGTGAGTTCTGACGATGTATATTATGCACTAAAGGAAGAATGACTATTTATTTTTAAACTAACAAAGTTTTTGTGTTTGATTTATAATGTAAAAATTTGTGATACAAAATAAAAAACAACTGCTGATTGAAGTTTGTAATGTTTGGGGATATTTGCTTTTGTAACCTTGGTTTCTTAGACACGATGGAACTAAAAACTAACCTTCAAAAAGTGATAGGCGGAAACGTCATAATTGTCAAAACCGTGTTTGAAACGTTCAAAAAAAGTGAATTATTTACAATCAAGAGTTAATTGAAGGTAGTTAAATTATTGTACAAGTGTTTTTTTGTGTAAAGGTAAGTTTTAACAAATAATTTTCACATCTGTTATTTTTGGCGGAACATAAAATTTAAAGTTAATTTGTGGTAAATCAAGTGTTTTTTTTTGTCAGATTTTGTACTTCTTCGCATATTTTAACATTACCACAGTCGTTAATACAATATCATTTCGGACTAGAAATCCTGAGCAATTAACAGCTATTATTAAACTAAATTTAATAAACAAAAGGAAAAAATAAAAATTTATGATATTTGTACTTGTATAATACTGTGTACTTACTGGCTTATTGTTCATTTTAAAATTACCATTTGAAGCAAGACAAGGTTATGTACTTAAAGAGAAATCGTGCGTAACATTGTAAGGTCAAATTTATGCGTGAATATTGAAAAAAAATATTATTTATCTCGTTCATTTAGATATTCAAATCATAGTTTATTTTGGTCGGTAGTTACAGACATATCATGGCTCAGAACGCACCTTTAATTTTGCGGCTGTTAGCGTCTTCAGTGACGGCAGCCAATAGAGCAGGAAAAATTATCCGAGATATTATGACTAGAGGAGATTTAGGAATCGTTGATAAAGTAAGCAGGTAAAATTTTATTTTGAAATATTCACTGTGATATTTTACCAGGGCATCAACGATCTTCAAACAGAAGCAGATCGGTCTGCACAACGTTGTATAGTAGCTTCATTGTGTCAGCAATATCCAGATTTGACTATAATAGGTGAAGAAGAAACTAACAACCATGAAGTAAGTTTGACTTTTATAAATAACAAGTTATCTTACAAGCTGCTATTAAGGTTCCAAGTGACTGGATTGTAACAGATTATGATAAATTAGTACTGACGAAAGAATGCCCTCAGGAATATGAAAACATCAAAAAAGAAGATATTGTGGTTTGGGTAGATCCTCTAGATGGTACATCTGAATATACACAAGTAACACTACTGCAACAAAATAGTGACTTTTATGAAACTATTTGATTTAGGGATTGTTGGAACATGTAACTGTATTAGTAGGACTAGCAGTGAAAGGTAGGCCCATTGCTGGCGTCATTCATCAGCCATACTATAATTACAAAAGTGGAAATATATTAGGCCGAACAATATGGGGATTGGTAGGAGTAGGTGTTGGCGGTTTTGATCCTCAAAACGCACCTTCAGATAAATTCATTGCAACCACCACAAGATCACATTCTGATGGCACAGTTCAGAAGGCCTTAGAAGCATTGAATCCCGATGAAATTATTAGAGTGGGAGGTGCTGGGAACAAAGTAGGATAAATAGTGTGTGACAGTGGGGAATGTTTATTGAATTTGTTTTAGGTGCTGCTACTAATTGAAGGCAAAGCCCATGCCTATGTATTTGCTAGTAAAGGTTGTAAGAAGTGGGACACGTGTGCCCCAGAAGCTGTGTTGTTGGCTACAGGTGGACAGTTAACAGATATGCATGGATCCCTATATTATTATGGAAAAGACGTAGCGTGTCCCAATGTAGGAGGTGTATTTGCCACAACAAGAGGTATCAATCATGAAGTTTTACTATCAAAAATACCACAAGAAGTCAAGGATAAACTGAAATGATTTTTCTATTTTAAAACTGCGTTTCCAACTCTTTGATGTACATGTTACTAAGTCAGTTCCAGAGTAGGCAGCTGTTAACATTTTATACACCTTTTTTACATAAAATACGTGAATTCAGTTATAAATCAAGTTTATTTTTACAAAAAACTACAGGGTGCATTGATACAGCATTTATTATATGTGAACTGAATTCATAATATTTTGAAGTGGTTCACATCATTCCAGTGATTTGTTTTATACAGAAATGTGTTAGCGTTAGCAATTTTAGAAATTGATTAATTATTTGTTATTTATGTCACACTCTGTTGAAATTAGTTGAACATGTTAAAGAATGCAATAAATGTTTTAATAAAAGTTAGTAAATTTTAGGTAGCTATGTGTAAAGTGTCTATTTTCTGTAACAATAAAGTTTATTAAAAACGTTTTTGTGTTTAAATTCGCTTCCTCAAACCACATTTATTTCACCGAGATTTTGTAAAAGCAGCGGTTAAAGTCAGTTTTTAAGTTCCTCAAAGTGGCTGACAATCAAGATCAAATGTTTTTGCTTTTATTTGTTGAACTCTACCCAATAACTAAACTTTTTTTCTCCCATTGTATTGTAATCTGCATAACTCTGGTATTATTACTACAAACAAAAAACAGCGAATTCAGTAACATTACTATATAAAAATAAACTTGATATCAAAAATAGTTATATTTTATCTACAATATATTGCTTGTTTATATCCAATTGGTTTAAAGTTACATTTAAACATAATTTATCGTCTCTAAAGAATCTAGCAAATCTAGTTTCTCACAAATTATAAAATTGATCCTATATATTTTTTTCGATAATGCTTACACATTAATAAAAACAGGAATGTATTCTTAAACTATAAGTCAAGTAGTACGCTACACTGTATATTTCGCGTATTTTCTTAATAAAATGTTGTAGTACCGTCATTGGTTTTTAATGTAAAGAAATATACGCGAGACCTACTTTTTCGTACTTCAGGGGTTATAAAATGTCGAGAAAACATGAAAATACACATTCGTCGGATAGTTTTTTAATGTAATTGGCAATGGTTCTGTTTTTATCAAATTTTGTTTTATTTAGTATTAAGTAAATAATTTTGTAAAACTCAACAGTGAAAAATATAGAGGGTTAGTACAAAGTCCCGGAACGATTGAATAACTTCGTTATTTGAAAAGATTTTTTTTTTGAAATTTTGTGTGGATATACCGGGTGTCTGGAAAATGGCGGATTAACTCTTCAGTACGTTATGTACGGGGGTTTCCGGAATCCCAAAACAATAATTAAAAAATTCACACCGCACGCATTTCTTAGTAACGATGATGACTGAAATCCACCTTTTATTTTTTTAGGACACCAACTATAACAACCAGTTAATTTTAAATTAATCGTGCTACATTATTATTAATAAAGCAAGTTATGTTTCATTACTAAATAAACAAAAAAAAAAAAAAAACATGTAATAAGACATTTATAAATTATAAACAAAAACAAAACCAACAAAAGAAAAATCCATTAAAGCATATAACCAACTAAATTAATTATTATTAATATTTTAATATGGTTAAAATCGTACATTTTTACAAGGAAATATGGATTTTGCAACTATGGGGGGGAAGCCTAATTGCAAAATTGATATTTCGTTATACAAATTTTCCATTTCAAACACATTTTAAGTTTCTTGTTGTGAAAAAAAGTCTACACATTTTAAAACAAAAGGCTAAAATGTAAACCCGCCGACCCGCCCTCTCTCAATTGTGATGATTTTTTTTATTCGCCGAGAACCAAGAGGGCGGAGCTTAACTGCAAAATACTTATTTCTTTACAAGAAATTAAAAACAGGTTTTTGAGTATTGTGTTGTTCAAAGAATACTATGTATATTAAGAAAAAAAAAGCAAAATATAAACCCCACCCACCCACCCCCATCTCAATTGTGATCTTTTTTTTCTTAGAAATTTAAAACACGTTTAAAATGGTATTTTTTTTAAGGGAATTATGGATTTTGCAATTAGGCTCCGCCCCTAGTTTGCCAACGAATGAAAATTTGATTACTATTTAGATCAAGGCAAGTATGGGTAGTCTTTATTTTTTTTTCTTAATAAACACAGTATTTTTTTAAACAACACGATACTCAAAAACATTGTTTTAATTTCTCGTAGAGAAATAAGGATTTTGCATTTAAGTTCCGCCCCCTTGGCAGATGACGAATAAAAAAATCATCAGAATTGAGATAGGGTGAGTGGGCGGGGTTAATATTTTGCTTTTTTTCTAAATTTACGTAGCTATCTTCTCACAAGAAACTTAAAATATGGTTAAAATGGTACATTTTTACAAGAAAATATGGATTTTGCAATTATGGGTAGAACCTAATTGCAAAATCGATATTTCCTTATACAAGTTTTCCATTTTAAACAGGTGTCTTCTTATGAAAAGAAGTCTACACATTAAAAAAAAGGCAAAATGTAAGCCCGCCCACCCGCCCTATCTCAATTGTGATGATTTTTTTTTATTCGCCGTGAATCAAGTAAATTCGTAATGTTTCCAAATTTTGATCATTTTTTGTAAAAGTTAGTCATCAGTGCTTGCTAAGATAAAACTGATTTTGGCAATGATATACCCTCTAAGAAAAGAGCAGGTGGGTGGGCGCGGCTAGTACCTGGCAAGATAAGACTGATTTTGGTAAATGACATATCCTCTAAGAAAAGAGAGGGTGGGTGGGCGGGGCTAGTACATGCTAAGATAAGATTGATTTTAGCAAATGACATATCCTCTAAGAAATTTAATTAAATTATTATAAGAAAAGACACTAGAGGCTCCAAAGCACTTTTAAATTCTTTCCAAACAGGAATACCTAGAACTTCAAGATTGTAAAAAAAACCGGGTCCCAAAAAATATCCATGGGCTCCCAAAATAATACACCATAGGTACCTAAGAGTCTCCCGAATTAAAAAAAAGACTTTCAAATTCGTAAAAAATAAAACACTAAAATCTCAAACGATTTTTTCAAGTTCATCCAGCAACCAAACATCAGATTCCTTTAAATTTATCCGAAAATAAAACACCAAGGGACCTAAAATCAACTGCGAACATTTTAAAGGTAGGATTTTGAAAACTTTGACAATTTTTGATACGTCAAACATTTTTAACTGCTTACTCGATTGTTGCTGATTTGTACCTTCACTTTATATCAGACAAACATTGTTGTCAAATGGAATTTTGTCAAATTATTTTAAAAACAACACAACCATATCTGCGTGGTACATTCTAACTGAAGTGGTAATTAAACAATAAACATGGTCATGGGCGACAGAAATATTAACTAAAAGTTATATTACTAGTTGTGATTGTAACTCTACCAAAATGTGAGAAGGATTTTTTTAATCCGCCATTTTTCAGACACCCGGTATAGTTAAACATGGCGACTTGATTACAATATATTTCTTTTTTTTATCGCTTTCGGTTTGACACACACGGCTGCCTATTTTTTTTTTAATGGAACACCCAGATTTTTTTTACATTTTCTGATGCATAATAAAAAACAAATTTCAGAAATTATCAACATGTTCAAAATTCACAAAATCACGTCATCTTTGAAAATATGTACTATTAAAAAATGTTCAAAGTGTATGATTTTACCATATTAAGTGGTTTTTTTTTTGTGAATTTTTAGAAATAAACATGTTGATAATTTCTGAAAATAATTTTTATTCTGCTTCAGAAAATGTCAAAAAATCTGGGTGCTCCATTAAAAAAAAAAAGTAAGCGGCCCTGTCTGTCAAACTGAGAGCGCTAAAAAAGAAAAAAAAAAGTTGTAATCAAGTCGCCATATTTAACTATACATATATCCAAAGCAAATTTCTGAAAAAACTTTCAAATAACAGAGTTATTTGACAGTTCTGGGACTTTGTATTAACCTTGTATATTTCTTAAAGCACATATTATTTATTGCGTTTTGTGATTTACTAATCTGATGAGATGGCGTCTTCTAGAGTGATAAATACATAAATTTTCCATCTTTTAGTTTTTAATAAACCTTAATTCTGTTTCTATGTATTTGAAGCTTTTTCTATTGTTATACAATAATCGCTTTTTATGATAGTTTATTAAAAGTGGCTATGTTTGAAGGCTAAAGCTTGGGATTTTAACTTAAAAATAAGTTATATTATGAAACAACTAATTCGTTAGTTGGAATATGGAACAAATGTTGGGCATCAATCCAAATGTGTTGTCAACACTCAATTTACTTTAATAAATCATATAAAAACAAACTGCATCACTACCTATAACTTACAAACAGATCATTTTCTTTTCACCTTCTTCTTTTCACTTTCGTCCTTCCCTTCTTTCTTTTACCACCAGTTTCATGTTTTTTAGCGACTTTCGCGGCCTTTGGTTGTGGCAGCGTTCCTGGCCTTTTAGGTACTAACAAATGTTGCTCTACTAAATCCGCTAATTTACCTTGCTCTGCTAACATTGACAAAAATGTACAAATAAACTCATCATAATTATGTGTTCTTCTGCAGTCATCAATCTATCAAAAATAAAACCAATGTCATATTCATGTTACTTTAAATGGAAGCTTACCTTATATTTATTTTGTTTGTCATTTTCATCCTTTAAATTAATTTCACACATACAAATCTCGTTTTCTAAATTTCGTAAAAGCGCTAGTAGGTCCTGGGGCGCAAATGTATGAGGTTCCAATAGTTCTGGGTGTTTTTTCTCAGCTACTACAGTGTCACCATCGCTTGTACGAACCCGTGCTACTGCCCCATTGGGGTTACTCTTCTGATCAACACCTTCTTTTTTTACTAAACAATAAAATTTTATTTATATAAACATAACATGAGAAGTGGGCTATGTAAATAACGTACTCAGTTTCTTATTATTTTGTTCTTCATCCTGTTCTGACATCCGAATAACAACGAATCTTTTCAAGTCTCGAGACGACGGACTTGGTTGTTGCTGTTGCGCCCCCCAATTCCAAGTCTGCGTTGGTGAATTAAATGCCGACCCTACTTCTGATGAAGTGTCTGTTCCTGATGTACTTGGTGCTGGTGAAGTTTGTATAGTTAAAGGGGTTGCATAATCTAAAGGACCCAATGTTGTCACTGAACTCTTCGCCGCAGTTGACACTGGTTCTTCAGGAGCACCAGTCTGCATGGGTACATTTTCTTGCGATATCTCTCTTTCTTCCACATTATTAGTTGTATGTACAGCGTTTGCATTATCTTCCTCTTTCTTGTCTTTTTTCACTTTAACTAAGTGTTTTAAAGCATCTAGTACAATCTGCCGATTAGTTTTCAACATTTTCAATTTATGGTGAATGGCAAGTCGGCGATCTGGTACCACCGCCATTAAATTAAATCGAATTTCGCTACATTCATCACCGGCACTTATGGCAAGTCTGTCAGCAATGACCGCCCGAAACTTATCCGTCCACTGATCTCCTTCATTCCACGGTCCGTGATCAATTGGGTATGGTTTCAAGCCATCCAGTTCAAACAAACGTCCACTTATTGGTACAAAACTAACAAAATGGAATGCTTCTCCAGTAAACCGGCCTGTAGAAACCCCAGTACTTTTATCCAGCCGTCTCTTAGCCTGTGGCATTGCATGTGAATTATGTGCTTTCGCTAATTCTGGGGTATTTCCAATCGCCCATCCTTTATTTTCAGGCGACATTCCCCTTGTATGTGTTCTCAGTCTTTCTAACGTCGTACCTAAGTGCAAGTCAGCGCAGTTCAAAAGTACTGACACTAAGGCATGAGTCGCACAACTGTTAGGCACCATTTGTTGCGCAAAAAATATTTCATTTACTATTTCTTCATCACGAACAAAAACTTCGGTTTGCTCGACCACTTTTCTTCGAGAGCGTCTTTCCTCCATCCAACGAAACAGAAAAATAAAACCGTAAACAGGGCCATCTAAGGGTTTATGTATGTCGTATATTTCTTCAACTTGAACACCTTTCACTCCAAAATCTTCCAAAAGGAGCGAAAACAGTCCCGGGTCACTTTCCAGTTCGAGCCAACCTTCTGTTAGTTCTTTTATATCTACAGGCATATTGTTCTACCTACATCAACATTCAGAACTGTGAATTTTTGCAAATAGTACCGGTGGTTTAGTATTTTCGAATATTTACATAACAAAAATTAGACATCTGTCACATTTTGTGATTTGCCAGATTTCATGGTCACCACCTCTCGGATAAATGACGTAAAAACACCAACAGAGTACGGGAAGAAAAACGAAAAATATAGCATTTAAAGCTCAAAATAAATCTTAAGAGACTTGCTGCTTTAATAAATAACAAAAAAAAAGATATATTGCTGCTAAATACTAGCTTAAATCCATTTATTCTTAAATTGTGTTTAAAATTTAGGGGTTTTAAGATTTGAAACCTAGGGAAATTGGTTTTCTGAAATTTATTAATTTTTGATGTTGCGGCATTGCGGGAACGACATAACCTCAAAAAAGTCAAAACAACAAAACGAAACTCTACAAAACACTGAACTGTAACAAAGAGTAAACCAAATATTACTAATGATCAACTTAACAATAAAATTATTGTACTTTTCGTAGATTCAACTGCCATGGACAGTTCTTTAAGTGACGAAGAATCAGATGAAATTCAAGTGGAAGCTAAGCGAATGAGACATGAACCAAAAAACTACAATTTTAGTCGAAGATATGAACGAACCAGACCTCGGCGTACTCGCCTAGTAAGCAGAGATTCCAGTTCATATCAGCCTAAAGGTATTTGTGTGATGTAAAAGTTCTTTAGCAAAATAAATTGTTGTAGAAAGTAATTTGCAGGGACTGATCTTCGATAACGGAGCGTACACTATAAAAATCAATTATTCATTTGAAAATGAAACAAGGTGAGAACGACTGTTACGTAAGGCAGCTTATGTGCAAACTTTTTGTTGTAGAGTTATACCAAATTGTATAATGAAGGCCAAATCTGAAAGAAAACGACTGTTCATTGGTAGTCAAATAGATGAATGCAGGGACTGCTCAGGTTTATACTATGTGATACCAAGTGAAAGGGGATATGTTACTAAGTGGGATGTGCAAAAACCAATCTGGGATTTTGTTTTCAGTAAAAATGTGTGTCCCATAAATAATTATCCTCTTATTATGACACAACCCTTGTTTAATTTTAAGTCAATACAAGACTGTATTGATGAAATTATGTTTGAGGAGTATGAGGTTTCTTCAATGCTTCGAGTGAATCCCACAGATCTTGCATTGTTGCAGTATCATCATGAAATTGGTAAACATCAAACTATGTAATTGAGACCACTATTTTTTTTTTTTTTTTGTTTAAGGTGCCAAACCTGCTTGTATTATTGTCGATTCAGGTTACAGCTTTACCCATGTGATTCCATATTTAGAAGGCAAAAAATACATGAAGGCAGTGAAGAGAATCAATGTAGGAGGCAAAGTGAGTTTCATTATCCATGTACTTGTTCATTTCTTAAATTGTCATTTTTTAGTTGTTAACAAATCATTTAAAAGACATCATATCATATCGCCAGTATCATGTGATGGAAGAAACTTTCGTGATTAATCAAGTAAAAGAAGATACTTGTTATGTATCACAAGACTTTAGAAGTGATTTAAAAGCGTCTGAGTTACCACCAAGTAGAAATCACATCCTTCGTAATTACGTCCTACCTGACTTCAACAATATTCGAAGGGGTTATATTCAAGATCCAGAAAAGAAGGATGAAATAGCTGAAAACTGCCAAATTCTTCGCCTAAATAATGAAAGATTTTGTGTGCCAGAAATATTGTTTCATCCATCTGACATCGGTATAAAAAGCTTAGGAATTGCAGAAGCTATTTATAAATCAATTTTTTTGTGTCCGCAATTTTATCAGAAAGATTTAGCGAAAAATATTATTTGTATTGGGGGAAATACAAAGTTTGAAGGGTTTAGAGACAGATTATTCAATGAAGTCAGATCTATGATTCCAGCTTCATGGGAAGTGAATGTTTACAAGCCTGCAGAGTAATACAATTTAGCAAATTTTAAGTTCCTGTAAATTTATTTCAATTTTTTTCTAGCCCCATATCCTACAGTTGTAAAGGTGGCAAAGTTTTATTGAAAGATCCCACTCTTAAAAGTAAACTTGTGACTAAACAACAATATGAGGAATATGGGTTGAACTTTATCCAAGAAAAGTTCAATGATTGGTAACTAACTACATATTGATAATTGTAAATTGTACATTTTTCATTTAAAGGTCTTGCCCAGATATCCATGAAGATTCACAACCAAAACCCAAAACAGAACCCTTTAGTTACATTGATCATATAAAGAAATATGATGTGTTTGGTAAAGGCATTCTGTTGGAAGAATCCAATGAAAATGCAAATAAAAATGAAGACGCTGATTTAAATTCAAGAAAAGGCGATGAAGAGATTGACGTTTCTAGCAAAAATAATGAAATGGATGATAAACCTGAGCAGATAAAACAGGTATTGTTGGACGATAAATCTAAAATCACTAAGATACTTAAAAAAAATACACGAAGTAGTACGACGCCTGTTATTTATTCAGTGAAAATCGTTTCTTCTGTATCAAAAGCCTCATGAGTTATTTTGATTACGATTTTTTTTTTTGTAAGATATTTATGCTTTATTTAATTCCTCAATAGACAGCATCACTATTTAGAGCTAGTGAGAGCTGTGGATATTTTTTAATTATAAGAGTACTAAAAATAAAAAAGAATTGTGATTTTGTAATTGTTTATTCTTTCTTTTCTTTCTTTTTACCTTTCTTACCCTTTTTACCTTTCTTCTTCTTTTCTTCAGGTAACACTGTATCTGGGTAAAGTTTCATATAAGCTTCCTTCATTGCCACGCAGTCAATTTTTTTCTTGTGTGGAAATCTTGCCATTAATTCTTTAAGAAGATCTTTATCAATTTTCTTGATTTTCTTTTTCTTCAACAGTTCTTCAAACGTTTGGGTTGTCACATGTTTATCAGGCAATGATAATATAAAGTGGCTAAAAGTGAATTTAGTGGTTTGATGCGTGCGATTTTATTTATTTATACCCAAAATCTTTCCTCAACTTTTTCTTTTTTGGTTTCATCGCTAAATATTTACATCGTGCGAACACCAGTTTGTTTATGTCTGGTCCGTGAATTTCGTAATTGCTCAGAACATGGCCATGGGTGATAGTTTTTTGCCTTTTCTGGTGCCTAATTTTTTCCTGCAGGAATTTATTCACGTAGTTGTAAATACTAATTCGTTATACATACTTTTAAAAAGTCTTTAGTGACGCACATATTCTCCATATCCAAATTCTCAAGATTGTCACTTGTTTGCTTCGCGAAAACGGCTAACAAAAAGTCGGCTTCGTCGGGAGTGTATATATTATTTCCGATTTTAACGTGATTCAGTGATTTATTTTTTATAAGTGCTGCTCGAAGTAACTTCAAAGCCTGTGCAGTTATTCTAAAACGCGTCGCATAGAATTTTTAATATATTTAATTAACTTGGAACCTGTTCCAACTTAAATCCAGAAATTGGAGAACTTCAGTTTTTCTAATATATTTCGTTATGGGACGCAAAGCGGCTGCTATACCAATACCATTCCAAGCTAGACTTAACCAAGATATCAGTTGATTTTTGGCTAAGCCGTTTCCTAATTTTTTATTTCCTGGGAATGTAAACTCAAACATTAAAGTAGCCGTTAGAAAGTACACACCAGCGGCAGTGAAAAAACCATTCCAAGCAAGGTCCAATTCTTCTAAAGTTTTATTTTCAATTAAAATTTTTTCCATAGTTACTCCTGAGTCTGCGGTCAGTTCGTTATGACTTAAGTTTAATTTTTTGACGGAAGTATTTTCGATAAAAGATGACTGTAGGACCGTTAGACCCTTGTCGCCCAAACTGTTGTAGCTTAGATCCAATTCATGCAGAAACTGTGTGGACGATATACCTTCACACAATTTTTCTGCGCCTGTAATCAGTTGAGGTAACTGTGCGCAATTTTTGTTGAAAACAAAATTACCTTCAGGACCTATCCGGCATTCTTTTAAATTTAAAACACGAATCGAGTTACTTTCACGTAGAACTTCACTTAATAAAACGCACTGTTCATGGGACAACCAGTTATCTTGTAGAATCAAATATTTTATGTTACTGTTTACTTTTAGTGCGTCGGTAATGCCTCTCATCTGGCTTAGCGTTATTCCGTAGTACTGTTGAAAAAGGTGAGGTCAGTGTTAACTGTATTTTGGTTCATTATAGTACCTTCAAATTTAAAGTATCTGTCGCCAGTGACTTAATTATTCTTGTCATGGGAACAATCTTCAGGTCTTTACACATGTTTATGTACTTCTGACAGCCATCAGGATCAAGCTCTTCTTCAGGTGCTGTAATATTTTTTAATTATACTCGGAAGTATTTGTTTTATACTATGTGGTTACGAATATAGTGTAATATTTCATCCAGTCCGGGATCCTTCAACGGAGGGAACAAATTTTCTATTAACCTGAGTTCGCTTCTAGAACACAAGTACTGTTCAAAACACTTGAATGACGATGTATGTTTGTTCAAGAGCTTTTCACTAGAAAGTGTCTGTAGTAACGCTAATTGATCTTCCATTCCTAATCTGATAGGAGCTGCTTCGTCAGTCTGTGTTTCAACCAATTTTTCTATTGCTGCTCCTTTGCTTTGTGGTTCACTTTTAACAGGTTCATCTTCCTTTGTAACTTGAGCCTCTTCTACTCGAGTGATTTGTTCAGTTTCTGAGATCTGGTCAACTTCTGGTTTTGCGTGTTCCCCTTGTCCTTCTTGTAACCCTGGTTGTTGTGTTTCTTCATCTTGCTCTTCTGGTTGTTCGGTTTGCGGCTTCTCTTCTTGTTGCTCTTCTTCAGATTGACCTGTTGTCTCCTCGAGTTCTGTTCCTGGTATTTCCTCGGGTTCTGTTTGTTCTTCCCTCTGTATGTCATCCTCATCCTTAATTTTTGTCTCGGGTTCGGTAGCTTCACCAGAATTTAAATTTTCTTCAACCGTATCGGTTTGTGGAACTTGTTCCTCATTTGGGGTCGATTCGACATTTTGTTCCATGAAAATACTTTTTAAAATTTTTCGTACGCGACGATTTTATAAAAACTGACATGATGATACGTCGTCCAGGGTTTGTTACTGTCACAAATCGGTTATACAGAGTGTGCCAATGAGATATTTAATTAGGATGCGACATATTAATAGAAGTCGGAAAATAACAGAAAAATATAGAAAACAAGAAAAATAAAGAGATTCTGCTACTCCATCATTAGCAGTTTCGCCGCACTTGACGTCAGTCGGAATGTTCAAGTTTGTGTTTTAATCACATACAAACAATATTTTATTTATTTTTTATTATTGGCTACAGAATACAGAATTACAACTTTCGACTGTTGAGTAATCATATAAAACGATTATAAACTGTGTACTATTGTATTACAAGATTTTTATTTAGGTACATATTCAACTTTATCAAAAATAATTTTTATTACACAAAGTATGTGTACATTTTTCACAACAAAAATAAATAAGTCATTATTTTACTCCTCAAATATACATACCTATTGGAAAAATAAGCCACTATCAGTGACTATCCATAAATTGTAACTCGGACAACAGCAAGATATTATTGGGTAGCGGTTTTGGTTGAGGTGAAAGTAATGTAATGGTTTGTCGATCCATGTCTAAATTCGTTCTGTAAGAACGTAAAATATTAGACGATTAGTTGTAAATTATGAAGTAATCCGTTTTAAGACATTAAAAAAGAAAAGCATTATTATTAAAAAATTGACTGAAGTGACGTCATCAATTTTCTGGAAGGATTGAATTTATGAATTTAAGTTGAAATAATATTTAATAGCCCAGACTTATTTTGGATATTTTCAACATGTGATTTTAATACTTACACACACACAAATCCTGCCACATGTGAGGAAATGATGTCTTCATCCTCACCTTCTGTGAAACTAATTGCTAAAAGATGGTGTAATATTCCCGGATTTGGAGAAAGTGGCACAAGTTTGGTTAAATGGTCTTCAGCTTTCATTCCTAATGGAAGGCAAGAGTCTGGTAAAGCTGGCGCTCCTATTTTATAAATTTTAATTTCACTCCACTTAATTTCAAAGGAATGTGGATACATGGAATTTTTTGGTGTTCCATAAAAATATTCTCTAATTCGTTGATCTCGAGCTTCAGATCTTACACTTTTAGATCTCTCAACTACCTAAAATATTGTAACATTAGCACAATTCTATTATTTGTTGGATGGATTCTTACCCCTCCACTTTTCTGTAAGAAAATGACTTTGACAAATTTAGGCATATCACGAACCAATTCATTATAAAGCCTTTCCTGATCGAGGACTAATATGACATCAACTTCAAACGCTTTAGCTGAGTGCAATATCTGCTTATATCCAGTCCCTTTTATCCAACCACATGTGTTGATAATTACACCTGAAGCTCTTGCTGAAATTATATAATAATTAACTAATGTATCAACAGTAATTAAATACCAACTCTTTTTATTAATCTCTAGTCTCTCCTTTACAGTATTTGATAGCTGTGTCACTAACATAGAGAATAATGCAACATTTGTTTGTGGAGATTTATGTCCTGTATGGTAGACTAAAGGAGCCTCTTGTGAAAACCCCTCATCAATATTTGCCGGTCTTTCAATTAACAGTGCACCTAAACAACTTAAAAATGTACACTTCTTTACAAAAGTGTTAAAATAAACTCACCAATGGTCCCAGGAATAGAAATCTGCCCTTGTCCTACATCTAGATCCACAAAAATTGGTCGTCGCCCCATTCGTACTGCATAATTTAGTAAAATTCGGCAAACAGTCGATTTACCAACGTCATTAGGGCCAACGATCATTGTGGTCGGGCCTTTTTTGTTGTCTCTTTCAGCTTCAACGCGCATAAATTCTAAGGCAGCATGACAGTTCGAGTATGTCACCATGGGGGTCTCCTTTGCAATGTAACTTACATCAGTTCTTCCTTTAATTTCAATTGTACATCCATGCCAAGTATACACGGCGACTTTAGCACCTGAAGCGAAATCGTAAGTTTTGCCCTTTACTAGTTCTGTACCGAAAACTTCTGCTTTGCCGCTTTTTAAGGTTAGGTACACTTTCTCATTTTTCGATTCCACTTCAAATCGCAGTTCGTTGTCTTGATCCAGTTTGAATTCTTGTATTAAACTCTTTTTATCTTCGTGTAATGCCATTTTTGCGAAGACGACTTCACCAAATACAAAACCTCACAATTTCAATTTTATGACAACCATGACAACCACAGATGACAACCACTACCACCACAGCTAACCTAAAAGTCCTAAACGGTGAATGTTCCGTCACTGGTTCCGCTATAGCCGAAATACTATGAGAAGAACGTGCTGACTCGAAAGAATCAAAATTACATTGTTGATTGTTTTATGATAAATCTGTGTGTGCATAATTTATTCAAAATTTTGCTAAAAGAATTTTGAATTTTTTAAGTGGAAACTTAGTTGGTTGGTACTTTTCTACTCAACAAAGCACAACACAAAATGCAGATTAGGGTTAATCAATAATGAAACGAACTGAGGTCAAAAGAATTAAGCTGATTAAAGTCAAGACTTGCTCAGAGATAATTTTCAGTAAACAACCAGTAGGACGCTATTACCTTTTACATCTTCACTATATCATTCTTGGCATAATTGTGTAGTTTTTTCTATGAAATAACTATGCAGATGTATTTTTTTCAAAACGTTGCTGTCTCTATTACTCCATCATGCTTTTAAATCGTAAATTGTTCATTTTCAAACCCAGGCTTTAGTTTTTGCCTTGCGTAAATTCTATAAAAGCATTAACAGTGATTAACACAAAGGATTTTTTTGTTTTAACCTCGGTTATGCATCCAGCATCTAACATAATAATAGATGCAATTGTATTCCAAGGGAGAGGTACGTTATGACTAAATTCTAGATAGTTTTTAGTACAGTGATGAGGTAGGTTCATGTACCGGCTATATGTGATTCCACTTCATCATTATCTTTAATAGTATTTTCAGCTGTGAATATTTTACTGGTACTACAGTTTACTCAAATATTGCTTTCCTTATGACCAAATATTGTTACGATGATCGGTAATTTAAAATCGGCGTGGGTAAAACTCAAAAACTTATTTCTCAGTAATATTAATTCACACGGCTAACTATACAGCGATTATGTACAAAATAATTCCGAGGGGAATGGGATTGACTAGATCCAAATTCTCTCAACATTGACTGGACTCGATTAGTTTGCTTCTGACAGTGGTCCCTATTTAAATAATCTTATGTTCTTTTCGATGGTTTGCGAACGCTGCTTCGAGGTTTTTCTGGAGCCTACCATCGAGACTTCCGGCAACCCGCTCCAGGCTTTGCTTTATCCGAACGCCGCCAGGCCGATGTCACCAATGAAAACCCATAGGCGTCGTACCAGGGCGGCGTATGGGTTTATTTCGTAACAATATACACTTAAGTATATTGTTACGAAATATTGTATTACTCGCTTTGCGGAGAACTGGTTATCAGTAATAGTACCAGATTGACATATTGTTGAATAATAATAATATCAGTTGTCTTTGAAAGCAAAATAAGTTAATTATTACTCAAAAAAAAAAGAAATTCGGTTTTTCGGTTTTTATTAAAAAAGAAATCTCTAATTCAGCGTAAAAATAATATAGTATATTGTGAACAAGAAGGTACATACATATATCCTGCAACTGTAGTCGTTTTCCAGGTTCGCATAGGTTTAGTTTTCTAGTACAGAATCACTGTCTTTCATGTTATAGTATACGATTTTGCATAGAGGTTCAGTTGGTTGTTGTTTCTCAGGTTTATCACATCGTTTTTCCGCAGTGAGAACTAGAAGATTTCGATATTCTTCATCTGGTCACTTACACATAGTACCGGGATAATTTTCAAATTCCCATAACCTCACCTGTTTCTTATGCAGAAACACGTTGTAGCTTCTTCTATTCATTTTCTACTGATGTCAACTCAATTTTCTAGGAGTTTTCGTATTGTCCTGACGATCTCGTTTTTTACCGTCTTGTGGAGGGATTATCTAATTTTACATGCATATTAGAAGTTCCATTAGGTTATCATTGACTTCGCCGCTGCCTGACTGTACAATATACACATCTTCGCCTCGTAGGTACCGCTCCGATTTCGACGCATGTTTCTAGATTGCTGAATTTCTTCCTCACCACTTTTCCCACTTTGTGTCTGAAAAAATCGTTTTCTTTATTTTTTCCATAATTTGTCCCTCATCATTTTCAACCGTCTCTTACCTTTTTTTCAAGAACAGAAAAGCGTAAGAGATTATTTTCTCCATTTAGGGTCTGTGTAAAGTTTTTCAAAATAGTACTTCACAAACTGAATATGGATCATAATTTGAAGAAGGCCTTCTGTCTTCAAGATAACCCGCGAGGGATCCTCACACTAGCTTTGCCATTGGCAAAACCTAACAAACAATTTCTTCATAAAACATATTCATTATTAATAATAACAGTAAATTACCTGACGTAAAATTATGATTGGAAAAAGTTTCATAACTTCCCGTGAGACGTCGTTCATTATCCTTTGCCCCTCTAGGATTACAAGCTTCAATGTGTTGCCGGTGATTAGTTTCGTCTAAAATTGAAACGAGTTGTCCGGTTCCCGTGACTTCCTCCACAACATTAATAGGGCACCTTTCTCTCTGTCATATATTTTTCATTCCAAGTTTACTATATTACGCAAAACGGCCGTATTTTCTTGATATTCGGCGCCCCATATTCCAAGGATGTTGATTCTGGGATCTCCCAGTTCAAATTTATTCGTATAAATAATTCCTCTTAAGTAAGTTTTTTGAGGACATTCCCATTTTCTTCAGTTTCCTAGTCGTGGATGCTTAAAATAGGGTTTTCTTTACCCAATTCCAGACATGCGCGGACCACTCTGTTAAGCTTTTGCTCTATTCAGCATCACTTCTTTGAACAGCGTTGAAGATTCTGGCAAATCGACACACCATTGATGCAATTAGACGTCGAGAAGTTGAACGTTGACTCCACTTCAACGACCACGTGGTTGGAATTTTCCTCTGATAAGTGCTTCTCTTGTCTGTCTCGATGGAACGAATTTTGCAATACCTATTTAAACAAATTTATCTCCTTGTCTGATAGCGGCGACGTGATTTCCACGTGGTAGCACAATTCAGTCTCGATGTTCAATAATTCCCCCTAAACACCCCATTCGGGACAATATTTCCACTGCAAATTGCAAAAAACTTGTCATAATTTTATAATAATAAAATAAAACGAAGTTGGTGGAATATGAAATGTACAACAGCGTCGTCAAAGTATTTGCTTAATAAAAAATTATGTCCTACCTGTAAAAGCATAACTTCGGCGTGCTAGAAATGTTTATTCCAGCGTTTTCCGGTTCCCGTGACTTCTCCCACAACATTAATAGTTCACCTTTCTCCCTGATATATATTTTTCAGTATTTCTAAGTCTATATCGCCTGCAAATACTTTGTATCTGCATGATTTTGTTCGTAATACTATGCGGATCAAGGCTCACAGTCTTACAGCCAACAGAAGAAAAAATTTTAAAACTAAAGATGCAAAATCACATCTTCAGAAGTGGGGCTCTCATTTAAGTTTGGAGCTACTGTCAAATCCACAATTTCGTCTTGATCGTCAAGATCTGGACCCCCAGTGGTATGTGACTGGTGTGGACCACTCGAAACCTGCGAATTTCGACTGAAGCTGCTGCGACGTACAGGTGCCACAGTTCTCTGATTGGCCGGTTTTACAGTTATTATGAGGTTTGAATTGTTGGCGACCATCATATCTGTCATCTGATCTAGCGTTTTTCCAACCACTTTGATACCATTAACTTCTAGAACTTCATCATTTATAGCTAAAAGTTCTGTGGACTCTGCGATACTTCCAGGCACTAACTAAATTACACTTTTTCTAACACAATATTAATTAATATCTTGATACTTACCACTCTGCGTAACGCGGACGCTAGTTTCATCCTTAATATAGAACCCAAGAGGTTTCTCAGACCCCTGTTTCAGTAACCGTACCCGTCTGCAAGTTTCAGGTACAATATCGACGTCAATAATAGATTACACTTGTCGGAAGTCGTGAGGGTTTGAAATGGCCAAAGTTTTTGTTCAGCGTGGGGTTCACCCTAATATACTAGATATTAAATTGCGGGGTTTGATTGTCCCGTAACCGTTTAACTCCTCCAAACTATCACCTAATGAGGTAAAAAAATTAACAAGTACCTTTTCTTTGTACTATTACCCTCAACAAGGGTTTGGCATTCACAAGTACTCTCTTCAGATTATCATCATTGTTAATAGGTAGCACCGAGTCAATACTGGAAACTAAAAAAGCAATGTCCTGTAATCGATGTAGACCCTCTAATAAAACACGGAACTCCTTAAATACTTTTTTGCCTCCTACTCCACAATAATTTTTTTTGAGGAGCTGGAAATACGACTTTGGGTCAACCCAGAGGCTCGCGAATCCCTATCAAGAAGGGCTTATTCTTGTTCGGTTCCAAACCATGGAATGGTATCTTTCAATTTTCAATGCTTGCAAGTTATTAATTCTGCTAGGGTGTGCTACAAAATGAATATAATAGATTTTCAATTAAGTATATCAAATGAAACAACTTACTTGTAACAGTCTATACTGGTGTAAGAGAATATTTTCGCCATTTAGGGTTGGTGTAAAGTTTTTCAAATACGTAATTTCCTCTCCAAAATAGTACTTATTAGAGCTTCACAAACTGAATATGGATTATAGTTTGAAGAACGCCTTCTGTCTTCAAGATAACCCACGAGAAACCCTCACACTAGGTTTGCCATTGGCAACACCTAACAATTTTTTCATCAAATATATTCATTAATAATAATAACAGTAAATTACCTGCCGCAAAATTGCGAATAGAAGAAGTTTTATGGCTTCCCGTCAGATATTGTTCATTTTCCTTTACCACTCTAGGATTATACGCTTCAATGTATTCCCGGCGATTAGTTTCGTCTAAAGATAAAACGACTTTTTCGATTCCCGCCACAACAGAGGCACTTTTCTTTCTGACATATATTTTGCAGTATTTCTAAATCTACTTTAATACACAAAAGAGCATTATTTTTTTAATATTCAGCACCCCATAAATCAAGGACGTTGATTGTGGTATCCCGGTTCGAATTTATTCACATAAACACCTCCCATCGACAAGTTCTTTGAGGACACTCCCATTTCTTTCCTTTCGTAACCATCTCCAAGTCATTGGAGCTCTATAGGAGTCAATTTTTTTTTCATATAACGACGACAACATCGGTCTTAATTTGTTCCAAAAGTAGGGTTCTCCCCAGACACTCTCCAAGAAATTCTGTGAAAAAATAATAATTGCTCATTTCGATTCTTATATAGATTTGAGTATATTTGAAGTAATTAATTCTCCGGGGGCCCCGTTATGGAAATCTGCACAAAGTTCATAATCTTCTGGACCTTTTTCTAATTCTGGTATTAAAGTTTCTACAATAAAAACTACGTCTTTGGGGGAATACAAGATGAAAGCATCGAACATTTTATTCCTGTCTAGGTCTTCTGTAACCTACCACAAGCATAAGTTTTTAGAAAACAATCAAACTTTTTTTGGTTGTTGAATTTTGTAAAATAGGATAGCGGACACTGCTGGCAAAAACAAAAGAGATATTACCATAACGGTAGAGAGTAGGGTTATGTCTTTACAAAGGTCGCTCTGGTTTAAAATAACATGAGGAATCGTAAGGTTGAAACAATAAATTTATTAAAAATTTAAACGTTTTAGAATGATTGTTTAGTTCTTTGCATTCTCTAATCTTTTCGGAAAATAGAAAAAGACTCACCGAAACCTCCGCTTGGATAAAAATTGAAGATATAAAGAAACCACATGTCCATACAAGGGTGCATTCTCGCTTGATTCCAAATCATGGATGGTATCTCTGACAGCTTCCATTGCTTTTAAATATGTTTTTCCTTTATTCGTAGCGGTGGGTTGTTTGTTTTTCTCCATTAAACGCATCACTATAGAGGGCAATTTGTTGTAAACAGGTATCTGAATAAGCTCCTTCACCTTGAAAACAAGTAAAAACATTATAAATACAAGTATTTTAATACACTCTAACTTCGTTAGATTTTTTTGTTTAGTTCTTTGCTTAATCTAATCTTTTCGGAAAGTAGAAAAACTCACCAAAAAATCTGCTTGAGCACACAACTTCGATCGAAACTGAAAATATAAACGCTGAATGTCTTCTAACTTCGCATCACTTTTATTCATTTAATTTACATTTTTACTTTTTCATCAACGTTGTTTTAGTATTTGAGTCAGTCTCTCTGTAAATATTGAATTCAATTTACCTGGTGGTTCTCACCACCCTTATTTCAAAGTGGGTGGTGGCTCTGGCCCACCCTTGCGGGTGGAGGGGACGGAACAGATGTCCCCGCCAGGAGCGCTAACATAACCCCCCGCCTTGAATTCTTCAATCACATTGTTTTAAGATAAAAAAATGACAAATAAATGCGTTACAATTTACACTAAAAGAAAAATGCACAATATATGTACCTATACATGAAAGGTAAAATAAAAAAGCAAGAAATATTGATATGAAACCGTAAAACTAGTTAGAGTTCGAAAGATCACCACCACAGTCTTTAAGTTTAGCGCAATTAGTCTATTGGTAAAGCGCACACTTTCGAAATTGCTCTTTTTATCAAGCCACTTTTGCACTTCACCGACACTACCCGCACGTTCCCATCACTGCCGGGGTGCAATTGAGTAATTCTACCCAACTGCCATTGCAACGGTGGTAAATTGTCTTCTTTTAGCACTACTAAGGTGCCAACTTCCGGAATTCTTGCAGAGGTGTTTCGCCACTTGCTCCGATTTTGCAACGTGGTCAGGTACTCCGTCGACCACCGTCTCCAAAAATGCTGGCGACAAGCCTCGATCAATTGCCAGCGACAATCGGTTGATGGGAATGGCGGTGTGGTCCCTCTCCATGGGGGCGGTTAAAGGATGCCCGATTAAAAAATGGCCGGGCGTAGGTAAGAGGTGTCATATCGTTGACATCGTTCGACAGTGGCATCACTGGACGCGAATTCAAAACGGCCTCAATTCTTACTAACAAGGTGTGCATTTCCTCGTATGTAAGATGATTTTCACCGATAACGCGTTTAATATGGGTCTTAACGGATTTGATTCCCGCTTCCCAAAGCCCACCAAAATTTGGAGCTCGAGGGGGTATAAACTTCCAGATTATTTTTTCCTGTTCTAACCTATTTTGGAAATCTTTGGCTAGTAATAATTGCTTCAGTTCTTTTTTCGCGCCAACAAAATTGGTGGCATTGTCGCTTAGAATGTAGGCAACGTTGCCGCGGCGCGAAATTAGTCGTTTTAGCGCATTGAAAAAGGAATCAGGTGTCAGGTCGCCTACAAGTTCAAGATGAACGGCTTTAGTACATAAACAAATGAAAAGACAGATGTAAGATTTGACCGTCCGCTTTCTTCTACCTCGGCCTTCTTTAATTAGAATGGGACCTCCGAAGTCTACTCCAACTTTAGAAAAAGGGCGGGCTTGCATTAATCTTTGTTCGGGTAAATCACCCATAATTTGCGTATATGATTTAGGGTTAACCTTGTAACAACTGATACATTTATGCAAAACCTTACGAACTTGACTGCGGCCGGCCAAAGGCCAGTAGTTTAATCTCATTTGCGCCAGAGTTCCTAGCTGCCCTGCATGTAGCATATGAACATGAGTTTCTTTAATAATTAAATCGGTCACAAAATGTTTTGGCAATAAGATTGGAAATTTTTTGTTAAATGGCATAGTTGACATGTTACTTAATCTACCCCCCACCCTGATTAATTCATTTTGGTCTATGAAGGGGTTGAGCGAAGTAATGCGACTATCATTAATTTTTTGACTGTTTTTTAACTGTTTGATTTCGAAAGCAAATGTTTCCGCTTGAACTAAGCGGATAATGTCAAATTACCTTTAACTTCAGGTTGTTTTTTGATCCTATTGTATAAATTCTTGATAACGCGCTGCCAACAAGCAACCGCATTTTTTAGTTTTGCAAAGGTCGAGTAGGAAGTAAGAATTTCAAATTTGGGGGAATTCAATTGGAGACTTACAGCCGCAACAGTACGTTTTTCTACTAGTGCTTCGTCTTGAGAATCGCAATGGTTCGAATTTTGTATAATAAGAGAAGGGATTTCAATTTGATGCAGCCATGATGGCCCATTGAACCATAAGGAATTTTTGGCTAATTCGCTTGGATATATACCACGGGTAATAATATCTGCTGGATTTTCGGCACCTTTTACGTGATTCCAATGACATTTACTTGTTAATTGCTGGATTTCAGACACTCGATTAGCAACGAAGGTTTTCCAGTTACCTGGATCGGCGGCTAACCAAGATAAAACTATTTTGGAATCAGTCCAACAATAGCACTGGTCAGGTAAAATGTTCAAGGTATTAGCAGCTTTAATAAGTAACCGAGACAAAAGAAGAGCCCCGCACAATTCGAGTCTGGGCAGAGAAATGATTTTTAATGGGGCTACGCGCGACTTTGCGCATAATAGTCGTACATGTAAATTTAATTGACAGTCAACAGATCTCATAAAGATCGCTGCGCCATATGCCTGTTCTGAACTATCACAGAATCCATGAATTTCTATTTTAATTGGGTCACGACATATTACAGTTCGAGGAAATTGAATTTTACTTAAGGCTGGCGTCTGGTTCGGTTTAGCCCTATACTAAATACATTGAAAACATCGTCGCGGTTTCCGGAGTTGCATTTTAAAAATATGAGATATATAGCTTTAAAAAAATTATATTTCGAATTAACAAACTTCAGTCCAGGGGACCTCCATATTTATATTCATATCTAGTATGCAGTTTTTACAAAAAAAAATTATAAAGTTGAACAACTTTTACATCACATTCTAACCGGCACATTGATGCATTTTTTGACGAAGTGCTGAAGTTTTTTGCATTCTGAGATAGGAGGTCCCCTGGGGAAAAGTGTCAGCTTTCTTTTGATACCATTTATAATATTAAAAAATCCACGACTGAGGTAAATAACTCGCGAAAAGTAAAAATCTATTGAAACGAGAAATCGGCATTAAACGAGTTGTGATGCGGTAGCAGAATGCAGGTTTACTTAGATTCTGACTTGGTTGGAGATTTCAGTATTTTAAAAATGCAATTCCGGAAACTACGTCGATGTTTTCAATGTATTTAGTATTGGGCGAAACCGAACCAGACGCCACCCTTAAGTTAGGTAGCTCGCGTAAAAACGAAATCCATGTTTTTTGAAGGCTTTCAGGAATTTCCGTGTCCCAATCAATTTTCAGTGACCA